TTGCAAGAGAGTGGAAAAGGATCCATTTTGTTTTGTCAATGTTTAAAGTTAACTTGTTGTACTTAAACCAGTTGGAGATGTGATTGAGTTCTTTATTCATATATAAAAAAAGCTCATAAATGTCACTATTTGAGAGAAATAAATTAGTATCGTCCACAAAAATGATACTCAAAAGGTTAGAAGCTTTATTTAAATCATTTATATAGATTAAAAACATAAGTGGGCCTAGAATAGAACCCTGTGGATCGCCATATTTTATGCCAATTAATTTTTCATTTTGAAAAAAGTCTCCATAGAAAACAAATTGTTTCCTATTATTCAAGTAACTTTTATAACATTTTATTAATTTGCCATTAATTCAGTAAAATTTGAGTTTTTTAAGTAGAATTTTGTGATCGACCGTGTCGAATGCTTTTGATAGGTCAATGAAAATACTTAATGTAAATTGTGATCTACCAAATGAATTGGAGATTTAACGAGTGAACTGTGTAATGGCTTGTTCAGTTTAACAATTTTTTTCAAAACCGAATTGATTTTTATATAAAAGTTTATTTAGATTAAGGTAATTGTATGTTCTATTGTATATAATTCTTTTTAAAATTTTTGAGAAAGTTGAAAGAACTGAGAATATAAATTATCTATAAAAAGCGAATTATTTATGGGCTATAGGAAATCACTAAAAAATTTTTCTGTAATAGAAATCTTATTTTTCAATTTAGTTCCTAGTCAAGGTTCATATATATTTGTTTTATTTATTTTAATTACTTTAGGAGGGGAGTTTGAATTTGTTTTCTTTTTATTTCTTTCAACGTTCTCCAAGTATTTTTTGAGTTGTTTTTAAATTTGCTAATTAAATTTGAATAATAATTTTATTTTAGTTTTTTTCGAATTTTTTAAAATAAATGTTGGTAAGTTTTATATTTTTGTTGGTTTTCATTTGATTCTTGTTTTTAAATATTTTATATATAGTTTCTATTTGATTTTAGAGGATTTTCTAAGTCCTTTGGTAACACAGGTCAACAAAAAAAAATTTTCTTACCGAGAGAAAAAATTGTTTTTTTTTATAGCATTTTTTATTTTGATTTCAAATACGCAACTCCTTTTTTACCATCACGTCAAATTGTAAAGATATTTGGGTTCAAGTCTTTAGTATTTAGGGTAAAGTCCCTAATATTTTCGAAAAAAAGTTTTTCAAAAGTATGTCAAACTGGGTCTCAAAAGAAGCGTATTTTCATAGAGATTTTAAAAAAGTTATTCGTTTGTAATAAAAATAAGTAATTTTTGTATTTTTGCTAAAAAACGTTTTGTTACAATTTTTTAAAAAGCCCTAAGCATTTTTTAACATAATTTTTTTGTTAATAAGTTTAAAAAAAAATATTTATGCTTTCTAAAATCTCTATGAAAATACGCTTTTTTTGAGACCTAGGTTGACATACTTTTGAATAACTTTTTTTGACAATATTAGGGATTTTACCCCAAATACTAAAAATTTGAACCAAAATATCTTTACAATTTGGCCTGATGGTGAAAAATGAGTTGCATATTTAAAATCAAAATGAGAAATGCTATAAAAAAAAAACTAATTGTTTGATCGGCAACAGAAAAAAGAATTTTTTTGTTGACCTGTGTAATCCATGGACTATTTAAGATTTTTATTTTTGTTATTTTTTCACAAAGTGGAAAGTTTGCATCGTATATTGAGAAGAATGTATCAAAGAATTTACCATATATTGTATTTGCGTCTTCATTAAAGTTAATTAGTTTCCAATGGATAAGTGATAGTTGATATTGGAAGGATTTTATTTTTGCTCTCATTGAAGACGCGTTTTTTTATTATATTTTGTCTTTCGGGGTTATTAGAGGATAGTATGGATTGTTAGAAAAATGGGGAAATGATCGGATATGTCGAGTTTATAATTCCTTTTTGTGATTTCCTATTATAAATATCTGTTGTAAAAATATTAGCAGTCAACGTCGTTGAAGTTTTGGTTATTCTAGTAGGGCGATTAATTAAAGGAAGAGCTCCTGCCATAAATATTTCATCATAAAAACTTTTTACTTTTTTATCTTTATTATAAATAAAACAGTTCATGTTAGGGTTGCCAGACGTCCAGTTTTTACGAAGAAGAGCACAGTAAAAAAAGTTACTGTTACAGGTTTGGCGCTGTTTTCTCCTCCGTAAAAAGCGGACGTCTGGCAAACCTAGTTCATAATGAATCTCCAATTATAAAAGTAGTTTTGTTTTCTTTGCTACCATGGTGAATTATATTTTGCTGTAAAAAGAAACTAAGATTTTCAGACGCGCCATCAGGTGGCCTATAACAACAGCTTAATAGAATACTTTTTTTTTTATTGTTTAAAATTTTAATAGTTACGATTTCTTTATCACCGTCAGAAACGCGCATACTATTCCTAATGTTATGTGTAATGTGTTCCTTAACGTAAATCAGAACTCCTCCACCTCGTTTATTTGTTTGTCTTTCTAATAAAATTGTTTCAAAACTTGGAAGATTGAAAATAAAATTATTTTAAAATCATTCGAAGAAACCCATGTTTCTGTTAAGCAAATTATGTTAAATATATACAGTTTCATCTAAAAAATCACAAAACTTTTCAAAATATTTATTTAGACTTCTAATATTAATGTGAAGGATTCTGATTTTTTGATTTTCAGTATTATTTTTATTAAGAAATTCTTTTAACTCGTTGAGATAAAGATAAGAACAACATGTGTTCACATAATTAAAAAAGTTGACATCTGGATCTGAATTAAGATCTGATTTTAAGTATTTATCATGAAAATTAAAAGTAAAGGATTCGTAGTCATCCAATTTTGTTTTTAAATTTAATTAAAGAATATTAAAAGAATTCCTTTATAATTATAGGTCACGCGTAATTAATTTATTGTAAACTACTTTAGCAAACTTACCTTTCGCTATCAATTCTTTCGCTTCTTTGAAAAGCTTTCTTCGTAAATCCATTGTAAAACCGCTCGTTCCATAGCTTCATCGTCGCACATTTGTTTAAAACTCGGGCTTTCTCTTTGTAGTTTTGAAATTGAACAACTATTGATCTGTTTTTTCCGTTTTCTTTTCCAACTCGATGGGCTCTATCTATTAAATATTTTTCTTGTATATTAAGCTGTGTATTGAGGAATTCTTTGATTTTTTGCTCACTTTCTTCCCAAGTTTCATTAACTTTATCTTCAATCCCAACAAATCTCAAGTTCTGCTATTTTCTCTTTTATGTTATTGTTTCCATTTTCAATATTACTTTCATCTGGTGATTTTTTTGATTCTGTTTTTTTTTAATTCTATAAGTTCAATTATTATTTTATCATAGCTTTTACTTATAAATTCGGCAACTTTCTGTACCTCAGATAATTATTTTAACGTAAAGTTTTCATCTTTTAAGTTATTAAATTTAGTTTCCATTTTTTCAATCCGATCATTAAAAATTTTCATCATAGTATTCTCATGATTTTCAAGGGTTTTTTTAAGTTGTGCTGGTGTAAAGTTTTCCGCCATTATTATAAGTTTTTTAATAAGCTCTTAAAACACGTCCGTTCTCGGAGAAAATTGCGTAATGAAAAAAGTTTTAGCACTAGATATTTTAAAATCATTTAAAATAAGTAAAAAATATAGACCTTAAGTCAATAAAAACTTAACTAGTTGTATTTTGCAGCAGCTGAGTATAATTTTTCATATAAAAACTTCATAAAAAAATGGGCCTGAAAAACGTCTTTATGACGTAACTATCGGACGTGATTTTGACGTAGACAAATCAACTTAACAATTGCGATTGTGAGACGTATGAAAATCCTTAGTTAAGCCTAATAAAAATCCTGCATATTCATATGGCATACAACATTTAAGTTTTAAGTATTTTTATTACTGTGTGCAATATATACTTCACAGCCTTCAATATAAATGAATTGAAATACAAATGCATTTATATAAACATGTTAAAATCTGTTAATGAATAATATAGTTAAGAATAGTAATAATATTGAGTTACTTATTGCCATAATAGTTGAAGTTGATGAAACAAGTTTTGAAATATTTCTGTTTACAAGTTGATACAAGCATAACATACCCAAGTATTAAGGTGAGTTTCCACTCATCCGTTTTTCTACGGGAACGGGATAGGGAAAGGGAAAATAATCACGTGAGCACGCATAGTTTTCCTTCGGACAAATCAAAACTTATACTATGCACGCCCACGTGAATATTTTTCCCTTCCCTATCCTGTTCCTGTAGAAAAACGGATGAGTGGAAACTCACCTTAAGGTCTTTTTCCTGTCTTAAAGTTATTTATCTTAACCATCAAAAAAGCGCTCGCGATCCTTGAGTTGTGGCGAAAAGTAATTATATAAACCATATTTCATCATCAAATTGAAATAGTAATTTTTAATTTCGTCATCAAATTAAAATAGTAGTTTGATGAATATTTTAAAAGCTTATTTCATACACTTTTTCTTTTACAAGTGGCATATTTCAAAATAAAATAATAATAAAGATGAAACACGTGCACAAAATGAATAATGACAGAACATGTCTCAACATTCTAGCCAGTAGGCCGAGTGAAGAAAAAAAAAGCAGTTGTTTTTACTTGAAATTTCTATTCATGTAAAGCTGACCAATTGGTCAGCTTTACATGAATAGAAATTTCATTAATTTTGCTCAAACTTTAATTCGCGTAAAGCTGAACAATTACTAAGCGTTTTTAAAGTAAATTGCTTAGCTTTTACGTGAAAAAAAATTTAAGCGAGTTTGCCAAAGTTTTTATTCAGGTAAAGCTGAAAAGCTGCTCCAAAAAGTAGTAAAAGCAGTTGCTTTTTTTAATTCACCCGGTCTATAAATATTTTTATAGCGATGATTTTAGACTTGATTTTTTTGGTTCATCTTTAAATAATATAAAACAAGTTAAATAATGAAAAAAAAACTTAACTTTTATGATATGTATAAATATAATTTAAATTGAAATATAAAATCTACAAATTTCTTTCAATAATTTTATTTCAGAAATATGAACCCTATTCACACGAAATCATTAAAAAAATAATAATTATAGAAAAAAAATAAAAAATCGTTTTACATTTGAAATAGTTGTAAAGAAAAGTCATATATGTAGAAACGCGTTTCGTTAAAAAAAAACAGCGCATTTGAAAAAACATCTGTTTCATAAATAAAAAGATAGGGAAAAAAAAAACAAAAAAACAAGTCATTAAATGTGTTTGTTTAAAAAAATTGCATAGAAATATTTAAAAACAGAATTTGATTCTTCACATTAAAAAGAATAATTAAAAATTTTGAATATAAAAATAATGTGTAAAAATAAAACGAAACTCAAACAGAAAAATACAAAAATTCTTTAAAAGCTGTTAGTTTTTCATTTTCTATTTTTCAATTTAAGAAAGACGTTAATAGTAAATCTGATTTAAACGAAATAATATTATTTACATATATAAAAGTATTTATAACATACAAACACTACCAAATTGCGGTAGAAATTGTTACTAAAGCGTTGAAAACTATTCATCATCCATTTCCATTGCTTGTTGTTGCAACACTTTCATTTCCTCTGGTGACAAACCGTTGTTTAGTGTTCTACGAACTTAAAGTTATTAAAAACCAGGAAATAATACCAGGAAAATAAAATTCTCAAAATTCTAATTCATCAAGTTGAGTTTATTAAAATAAAAATCAACTTGTATATAGTTGTCTCAATAAATGCTAAATCCACATACTGTCCTTAGTAAGGATCCTCAGTAAGGCCCTCTTAATCAGTAAGATCACCTCATACTGTCCTTAGTAAAATATCTCACTATCCTTAGTAAGAGTTGATTTTTTTAAAAAAGGTTTTTAAAATAATAATATTGAGGAGTCATTCAAATTTTGAAAGTTATTGACACGAGGCGTAAGATCGAAAAACAATGGAAAATTTATTATTAATTTCATATGATTTGTCAAGCTTGTAATTCTTAAGTTTAACAACTCATATTATTTGTAATTTACAAGTAATCTTTAATAAATAAAAAAATGTATTTTTGGCACACTCTACAAAATATAGCTTACTGTTGCACTATTTTGAAAAAGCAGACAAAATTAATGTTCTGCAGTGGCATGACTATGATTCAACATAGATATTTGTCATTTTGCTTACCTTTTATTTTATATATATATATTATTTATTATATTATCTTGTTTTAGTTTTTTTAATAAACAAAGAAACTATTTTAACTCTACTAAAGAAAACGTTAGGAGTACTATTTATGTGGTCACCACTCTATATGTGTGTGTCTTCTAATTAAATCTTCAACAGGGTACTGGGTACTAGGTGATATATATTTTATGTGTGTGTGTGTGCGTGTGTGTGTATTTGTATGAAGAATAAAATATTTTGATTCAAAAAGTCTGCATACATTTACATTTAAAATGTATTACCTGATTTGCGAGTTGACTTGGCATCCTTTGCACGATTTTTACGTATGCGAGACTTTTTCTCTCCAGCAGTAGCGGACTTAACTAACATATCCATCATTTGATCAGTTTGGTCATCGGTATCATAACTGCTTATACTTCCACTTAATCCTGACGAGTTTATAAGTTTATCTAAGTTATTATTGCTTCCAACTTTTTTTCGAAAACGTCCTTAAAAAAAATTAATAATTATTAATAGCCCTTTCTAATAGCACCTACTTCTTATCTACAATATAAGCAATTAGATGATGACATATGTATCACAATAAGCAGATATAAAAATAATGGCTTGTGTGACATTTAGATTCACTAGAATTGTGTGTTAATGAAATTTGCTAGCATTACTAGCGAATCTAACATTTGCAATATATCTTGTGAACCTAAAATTTGTAATACTTTTATGAATTAAAAACATCACAGAGTATTTAAATAAGTTTTTAAGTTTATCAAAATTCAGTAATTTTTTATATGTTCTAAATAGTGTTATTACGGACTATTAAATAATTCGACTGTCGACTAAATTGACTAATATGTTTTCTAAAGTCAAATAAATTTGATTAATATGTTTCTAAAGTCAAATAAAATCGACTAATACATTTTTGCAACTGACTAACTTTATGATTAAACGCTGTCAAGAAGTTTTTGGTCAAGTTATCAACTTTGAAGATCAAAGTGTCCCAATTGATATCTGCAAAAACTGTCGAGTGGGTCTTAGCAGAATGGTTAAGATATTCAACTTCCGTCACTGCTTGACTACCAAAACATTAGGATTATGTTTTTTAATAGTTTATTGATTACCACAACCACTTACTGGGTATCTATTAGGAGCAAGCAACAGAATCACTCCATCACGACTTCATCTATCACTGGCAACAGTTCAATAGGTCCAGTAATTATCCGGACTACCTTAAGACTCTTCCAAACTGTTTGATTTATTAAAACAGCAAGCATTCCTTTTAACTTCTTTGTAGAGAATACTGTATTATAACACTAGTTTTAAATAAATTATAAAAAATTTTTTTTAATAAGCTATTAAAACAATGCAGTTAACTTTTGTTACATTTTTTTGTTCAAAGTGAAGGTTAAACTTGGTAAGAGTGATACTATTGTAAATACTATTTATGCTAACATAGATTATTTATAGATCTTTTATTTGATATACAATAATTTTTAAAAAATCTAATTCACTTCCTCAAAGCCATGAAAGCCAATACAGTCGAGGAGGCTACTTTAGTTATGGTTACAACTCTCTCTCAAACCTATAACTCCAAAACATGTACCTTGATGGACAAGGCTGTTGCATGGAGAAACAAGTTGAGCACGGTACTACCAGGGACATGGTGGGGATTGTACTCGAAATTCAACTTTTCAATTCTTATTTGACATTAGTATAAACATAAAAATGCTTGAATTTTACTCCATGTCTGGAAGTTAGATATCTTAAACACAAAAAAAAATCTGCGCCTGTTCAAAAATTCCCTATTGTCCTCAAAATTTTTATTATAATTTTTTAAATTAAGATAAAGATGGGTATGAAGAACATTTTTACTAATATATTTTATATATTTATAATTATATATTTAATACAATATTATTTATTTCACTTTTTGAAATCAATTTTCTCTATATCTATATTAAGATGCCTATTATATATTTTTTGCCAAAAAAATTGCTAATCTTTACTTGTAGTTGACCTTAGATTGTTAATTTGGTATCAACACTCAACATTTGACAATACCTATATAATTCAATTGGTTCACTTAATCTAAATTTTATTTTAAGAGTCAAAGATACACAAAGCTTAATTATGTATAATAATTGTAATATATTTATTTTATATTTAGTAATATATTTTATGGTTTATAAATACTAGCATTTCTACTGTCCAGCAATCAAGAAAGTGCATTGTGATTGCACTGAAGTCATAGGTATGCATATAAACTTGCGCACTAAAAAAAATAATTACATCACCTATCTTCCAGACTTTTTTTTGTGAGACAAATTAATAAACAAGCTTAAGAAGTTCTGAACTCTGTAAAGAAAAATATTCTACATTAAACAAATATTTTATAAGGAAAACAATATAAATAAATATAAAAAATATTAAAATAATAAGTTAAATATTATTTAAATGTTTTCAGAAAACCTGATGTTGATATAGTAATAGTCACTATAGAGGTATTTTACAACTTCTTTTATAAAGTTTGTATTGCTAAATCGCTATACTTCAATTAATGATTTTAAACTTTAAAAATGAATTTTATTAAATGACGGTTAACTGTTATTTGATAATGCTACCTGTGAAGTAACCAACAAATTACTTAACCATTACCAAGTTAATTAGTTACCGACGACTTTAGTTCTTAATGACTATAATTAAAATCCACTGATGTAAGATGATGCTAATGATGCTGCTGCTGATGATGAATATGATCATAATGACGTTTATGTTTATGTATATGAACACACACATTTTCGTCTTACACCATTCCCGTTTGTTTCAATATAAGGCAAACTAAAGTTAGCAAAGATTAGTTTGCCTTATATTGAAACACAGTTAAATATTTAATAAAAATAAATATTTATCGAAAATATTTAAATATTTTTAACATACTAACAATTACAAAAAATTAAAGAAATTTTAAAGCAAAATATTTTAAATTTAATTAATTGTACTCACTTGCAGAATTAGTTTTTGTTTTATTAAAAGTTTCTTTAAAAATGTTTCATTTTAAGAAACCCATACACAAACAAAATTTGTAATTTGAGTTAACTTAAGATTTTTTCAAGTTGAATTTAATTGCTTAGGTTTTATGAAATCTTTATTTTAGATACCTATATTTATTTATGGTATTACTACATGATGGGATTTATCATGGGATTAGTTTATGGGTTTTGATACTACATTGGATTATACCATGGATTTGAGTTTAGTCAGTTATATATACACGCTTTTTATTCTAATTTTCTTGTTAAATTATCTTTATACTTCAGTGCATGCTGTGTATAGTAAGTGACTGGGTTTAAAATTTGACTGAGGCCGAGTTTCATAAAATATAGCTGTATTATATCACTAGATTGATAGATAGTAAAACATATTTTTTTTATTTGTGATTTATGTTATATTTGATATATATATATATATATATATATATATATATATATATATATATATATATATATATATATATATATATATATATATATATAAACATATGTTTTTTATTTTATTTGTGATTCACGTTATTTATTAACAGCTTATAGACAATATTTTATGGCACCTTTTTAAAAATATTGTTTTACAAATATGGTTTAGTTGGTAACAACAGCTTATGGGCAATATTTTTGTGGTAGTGGTGTAGTGGTAAAGCGCTCACTTCATAAGCAAGAGGTTCCGAGTTTGATCCCCACCATGTCCCTGGTAGTACAGCGCTCAACTTGTTTCTTCGCGCAACGGCCTTGTTCATCAAGGTTCGTGGAGTTATAGAGTTGAGAGAGGGTTATAACCACAATTAAGAAGCCTCCTCGTCTGTAGTGGCCTTCTCGGCCTTGGGAAGGTGAAATAACAAAAAAAAACTAATAAAAAAATTTAGCATAGAATAACTTTTAATTATTCTATGCTAAATTGTAATCTATAATTATAGCATAGAATTATTTTAATTTAACATTTATTCATGTTTCATGAACATATAAATTCTGAAAAATATTGAATCTATCAAAATCTGAAATCTTAATCAAAGTATAAATAATAATCAAAATTTAACTTTAGCAGAAACAATATCTAATAAAGTTTCAGAGTCACTTCATAAATTCTACTTTAAATCCATAACTCAAAACTTTATATAAAACTTTATATAAAACATAACTCAAAACTTTATATAAAACTGTATATATGGTTTCCACGAGAGGCCAGTTATAAAAGAGAACCAGAAAAAACATAGAGTAGAGGACTTTGTATGAGTCTTGCTATTTATTAATATATTTATTAATATCAACAATGTTAAAATAAAATTAAGCAAAAGAGTTTTATTTGAGTAATAATTCAACAACCACTGCATATCACAAGCTGTCACAGAAGAGAGATCAGATTCTAAGATCGACTGTTCTAAGTGATAAATGAGCAATTCTCAAGTCACCAAAATGAAAGTTTTTGAATTAATCCATTTGAAAATTTCATATGCTGAAATCTATCATGTATTTAAATATAAAATTTAATGACTATCCTAATAAAAGATAGAAAAAATATCAATAACTTCTATTTTATGTCTAGTTTATTATTAAGTAGTCCAGTTTATTGTTATTATCAAAATTAATTTACTCAGACTTACTTTTAAACTTAAGAGTCAACGGTACTAGAGTCAAGTCACTCAGTGTGATGTTCAAGTTGCCAACTAACAACAATATTGAGTGAAGGATAAAGAGAAAATGCTTTCGAAAAAAAAAAAAGACTGCAATTGCGAGAAGAACAGTGAAGAAGAAGAAAAAGGAGACCATTTTAATTTTTAAAAATTAACAATTTTAAACTCATAAAATTTTAAATAAAGTAAAAATAAAATCCTAAATTCATAAAATTTTAATAACATTAATAACATAAAACTGTAGTAACTTGACATAGATGTAAAACAGGAATATATTACCTTTTGTAGGGGAAAGAGAACTAGGATCAGCACCCTCAGTAATAGCTTTAGACAAGAGATGCATTTTTTCTTCACCTTCGGTTTTATTTTCATTGGGAATTGGAATTGCAGATGTAGCACCAGAGAAGTTTTCAGACTATTTATAGAAATCAAATGTATATGAATCAGCTCTAATTATGAGTAAGTATAATTAATGATATAAATTATATGCATAGGCATTTATAACATAAGTAATTACCTCAGTAATAAGTTTTCCTCTTGTCTTCGTACGCTTTCTTTGATTTTCCTTACGCTTTTTTGTTTCCAAAACACGTAAACGAACAGTACGATATTCAAGTGAAAACTCACTGAGAATCTTACAAAACGAGTGAGGCTAAATATATAAAATTAAAAAAATTTTTAAACGAGCCTTAACATACTAAATAAAAGAAAAAAGATTAAAAAATTAAAAACAAAAAAACAAACAACCTTTAATTCTTTGGCATTGCGATGAGTCATACCCAAATACATGAGTAACTTTGTAAATCTAATATAATAAGAAAATTTCACATAACATAAAAAAAAGTCTATAAAATAATCAAATAAACAACTACCTGTTTGAAACCCTACGATAAACAACTTTTAATATAGCAATTCTCTCTCCTGCATCACCCAAAAAATCTGTTAGCCTAAAAATAAATTATTTAATTAAGATAATGAAATACAAACAAAAATCTACAAAATTCTATAAATTCAAACCAAAAAAACTAAATCTTTTATAGTAACCAACACATCAAAAAATACTTTTGTTTTAGAGGTGAAGAACTGTCATGCTTGGCAATTAATCGTAGATACTCCCAAGATTTCTTACACATATCATCAAGCTTTCTAAGTAATTGATATATGTTGTCATAATCGCACTGTTAAAGAAAAGAAATAAAAGCTATTTAACATAGCCAGAGTATTAAAACTTAATTTTAATTTATCATTAATTTTAAAGTCTACTTTATATATGTTAATTATTCATTACCCTGGATGCTCTATGCAATGATCCAAATTCACTATAAAGATCTGAGGAGTCTGGGTACTTTTCCATAGCCATGGTACATATATGAAAAAGTAGGGTCTGCTTATGTACAGTATCTTTAACTTCAGGAACTTTTTCTAGGTATTGCGGATTGAAACCTTTGATCTAATAAGTAAATTTCTACACAGTTTATTTATTTAAATGTAAAATAGTTTATATAACTTTATCTGTTTATAAACAACAAAGTACAGTAACACCATGTTCTGTTAACATAACTTCAACACAAGGTAATCACACTTTATTCCAACATCTTAAAAAAAATCTTTTTGATGATTTTTAATTTATATTTGTCCAAAATTAAAAGATTAAAAATGTTTTAGAAATCTGATTTTGCTTATTTCTATAACAGGTTAAATTTTTTATAAAAAATAAGATATAAAATCTGCCGTTTTTTTAAAACTATGGGAGTTCACTAAAGATAAAAAATATATATGTAAATATATTTTTATATATTATAAAATATATATTAAAGAGCTTTATTTAAAACATAAAACAACATAATTACTTGTTCATAAATATTTATTTTCTTATAAACAGTTTTAACATAAGAATTAAGGTAATAATCTTAATATTTTGTAATGCCACTCTTAGCTACAATAGAATTGAAAACCTAATTAAAATATATATATATATATATATATATATATATATATATATATATATATATATATATATATATATATATATATATATATATATATATTAGGTTTACCAGAAATTTCTGTTGTTTCTATAAAAACAATTTTTGAAGCGTTAGCAAATGTTTATTGAGCTCATACTTGGCTCATTATTTTTATAGTTTAAAGTATTCATACATACGTAGCGAATTAACTCAAGCAAATTTATTTTACAATTGTCTTGGAATATTGTGAACCTGGAATTTCTTGAATAGCAAGAAATTTAAAAATGAAGAAGATACTAAACAATCACTGGTTTAATTCTTTAATTCAAAGAATAAAACATTTTTCAAAAATGAAATATACAAATTACCATCTTGCTGGCAAGATGTAATTTAAAATAATGACAAATATATTATTAGGGGCTCTCACAACACTCCTCTCTCCCAACATTACCAAATTTTTATTGAAGAAAATTTGGACATGCAGAGTATTTCTAATATGAACAGATATTTATATAATAAATACTCTGTAAAAACTGCAATAATCTAGGCAATTATTTTGAGGTGCCACAAGATTTGAAATTCCCATAAAATTCCCAGTTGAAATTTAAGTGAGAAGTTAGAAATTACCTACAATTATCATTAAATTCATTTTTTCAAATAAAAATCAATGTTTAAAAACACTATTATCTTGTTTTTCTGTTTCTATTATAATAAACCTGTATTACTGCTATAATATCATATCAGAACCTAATGAAAATATTTATGTAAATTGTAGAACTTTGATGTGCCCCAAAAAATTAAAACAAACTATTATTTTAAACAAAATAAAGTAAATCTGGTTCAAGTTTGTTCAACCTCAGTAAGTCATTTCAAAATGTTGTTTTAACAGGCTAAAATCAGATTTCGTGTTAAAAACTTTCATAACTGATGGCAATTCTAGCATTAATAAAACCATCAAACTGAGGATAGCAGCTGGCCCTACTGGCATCAGCAACAAGCTTCAGGCCTCTTTCTACAGACTTAGAGTGGCATGGAAAGCTTTCAAATTGCATCATTTCTGAAGTTAGAATGCTGTTTTTAAGTGATTCAATTGATCTGAACATTTAAGATTTAGTACTTTTACTTAATGTTGTTTGAGTGTGTATAATCTGTTGCTTTAGTGGTATTTACTTGTGGGATCCGATTTTTTGGCAGCAGCATCTTGTAAAAAATTTCTTTTTTTTCAGTGTTTTTCTAAAAACCTTATTTGGGTCAATAACATCAGATGTTAATTCAGTGCAAGGTGTATGCAAATGTGTCTATGTAATGGTTGATAATAAGAAAAAAAAAAAAAGAAAAGCAGAAAGAAATTATTGGAATAAAAAGAAAAAAATTTATCAGTATAAAATATAAGGCATTAGCAAATTAAAGCCAAAAAGTAAACTTCTTATCTTTTGTATAAAAAAAAAAGTTACTAAAATTATAAATTATTCAATAAATTACCAATTAAACAAAGTGTTTGAATTGAATGCAGCAGAATATACCTGTTCATAGATAAAAAAATGAAAAAAGAAAAAAAAAAATCAAAAAAGAAAACCGAATTTAGAAAAAGAACTTTTAATTATTAGAACCATTCATAAGCAAGTCAAGTAAGAAGAGTAATAAGTAAAGAAGTTTAAGATGCTTTTAAAGTTTTAATCATTTACCATTATATTTAAAGTTGTATAAACTTGTTTTTTTATTATTTTTTTACTGTTTTTCTTTTTTTAGCTCATTTAATTTCTTTTCTCTTTTACATATCTATTTTATCATATTACTAATTACATTATTATTAGCTTTATCATTGTATATTTTATTATTGCTCGTTATTCATATTAATAGTATTTATATTTTTATTATATATTACTACTAGTAATTTTGTTATTACTATCACTATTGTTATTACTGTTGCTATTTTTGTGATTGTTATTATTATCTGTTATTATTATTATATTGTTAATATTTTTATCATAAACTTCATCATTGTTATATTATCGTATAGTTACTACTATTGTTATATATATTATTGTTATATTATACTCTATATTGTTATATAGTTATATTGTTTAATATAACTATACATCTATACTGTTATTATCTATATGTTTCTGTTGTAATAATTTTAATAATATCAATATCTCTATTTTTAAACAAATTTCTACTGTTATGTCAAAACTATGCAAAAATTTGAGACGAAAATATTCGTGCTTTCACTTCAATTCAACCACTGCTTAAGTTCAATCTACTTCAAATGTAGTTTTTTGAATAAAAAAGATTTTAGTTTATCAAAAAAGTCTTCCGTTACTTTTCTTGATAAACTAAATTAGTCTGTATTACATGCTGCAACAGAATTTTTCCTTTTAGTTCTATAAAAGATAATCAATTAAGTCTATAAACTTTAATTGATAATATATTACATCTCTATGATCTGCCATCTTTCTTTTCTCCTGAGAATCTTATACCTAAACAATTACTTTACATATCAATAACAACAACGATGATGATGTGAACAGAGTTGAAAACCCAATCAATTGTAAATACATAGAAAATTTTAACTCTTTAAACATCAATATTGTTTTCCTCTATTTCATTTAATCATCACTTCATTAGTTAAACATTTTGACAAATTAACTTTTTTATCTCTAACAAATTATGAACTAAGTATAATCGGAATTACAGAAACTAAACTGAGGTCTGATTTACTACAAACAACACCATTAAATCTTAGTGGATATGTGTACAAACATACTCCAAACAAAAACTTAATTTGGAGGTGCTTTACATTATATATTTCTAATAAACTAAACTATAAATCTAGAAATGATTTACTTAAGTATAAACCCCATTTTTTGCTGAAATCATTTTCCCATAAAGTCTAATATGATAGTAGGCAGTGTTTATCACCATCCTAACATGGATATAAATGAATTTAATATTTCATATCTAGCTATTCTATTTGAAAAACTTGCTGTTGAAAAAAATAAAGCCATCTTTAAAATATATGTGATTTTAATTATAGATCTTATAAAAGCAAACTTAGATAATTTAATTTCAACATATTTGAACACCATTGCTTCAAACAACTTTCTTCCTTTTATATCGCTTCATAAGCGAGATCTTCTGAGTTTGATCCCCACCACGTCCCTGGCAGTACCGCACTCAACTCGTTTCTCCGCGCAGCAGCCTTGTTTGTCAAGGTTCGTGTTTCGGAGTTATAGAGTTGAGAGAGGGTTATAACCACAAATAAGTAGCCTCCTCGCCTGTAGTGGCCTTGAGCCTTGAGGAGGTGAATTAATTTAAAAAAAAAAAAATCCTTACCAACAAGAATTACCAATCGCAAGTACTTTTATTGATAATATATTTTCTAAATCAATTTCTAAAGATATTTTTTCCGACTAACTATTAGAATATCGGATCAATTGCCACAGTTTCTAGTTTACTCATCTTTTTTTAAAAAAAAAATTAATTCTCATAAAAGGAATACTCTTCTTCGAAACTTCAAAAAACTAACATGGTACAATTAACCAATTCAATTAAATAAAAAATTCTCACATGCCAATAGTATGTTGTCATTAATACAACATTAAGTTCCAACATATTCTAACATCAACTTACTATTCCTTGTTCTCCACACATCCAAATTATTGTTGCACTGTTTGAGATTAAAAAAAGTAGTTTTCTATTAAATTGTATAAACAGTTTACAACGCACTTGCATTAGAATTACAGCATTGACAGATTTAATATCGAAAATAGGCTTTCTGAATTAAAAATTTTAAAACTTCAATTTCTTGTAAAGCTTTATAATTGTCTCTTTGTGTTGTTTTTTTTTCAAAATTAACTACCAAATTTGTTTAATAATTTTTTTATAAAAATAAGTGACACAAATATTACACTTGAAATACTGAAAATTTTCATTTACACACTTCCTTTTTCAACACTATCCAAAATGGCAAGCTCTCTATAAAACATCAATGTATTTCTCACTGGAACCAATTAATACTAAAATTTATTAAAAAAAAAAAGATTTTAACTAAATACCCTTTTATTACCAACATATTTTTTTTCTCAATTAAAAATAAATTAGGAAATTTTTATTTGAGTATGTTTATTTGTATAATTTCTGTCATATTTATAAATTTTACTATAATTATTTTTAACTTAGTTTTTACCATTAGTTTCAATTTTTATTAAAGTTATCATATTATAGTTATTATTTGTAACAAAAAAGGTTGAAGCTGTTCAAATGAAGAAACCACTTACTTCTTATAATAATATATGGCAAGTTGTTTTGTTAACGTATACAAGTATCATGAAACATTATAAATCAGTAAGAAATGTATTTAATTATATATATATATATATATATATATATATATATATATATATATATATATATATATATATATATATAATTAAATACATTTCTATATATATATATATATATATATATATATATATATATATATATATATTTAAATACATTTCTATATATATATATATATATATATATATATATATATATATATATATATATATATATATATATATATATATATATATATATATATATATATATATATATATATATACTCTTGCATGTCTCTTGCATGGCATCAAAAAAAGTTTCCTATAAACTGTAGTTTTAAAGAGCGCGTTAATAAACCAGACCAGAAAAAGTTTTTAAAATTAAATTTTTTTTTTAAATTGATAGACTGCCTGGCCAAACCAAACCCTCAGTCGATGTAGCAGCACTCTCTTGCGAGTCAGGCTATTTGTCAGTCGTTGTAGCAGCACTCCCTTGCGAGTCAGGCTATTTGTCAGTCGGTGTAGCAGCATTCCTTTGCGAGTCAGGCTATTTGTCAGTCGATGTAGCAGCACTCCGTTGCGAGTCAGGCTATTTGTCAGTCGATGTAGCAGCACTCTGTTGCGAGTCAGGCTATTTGTCAGTCGATGTAGCAGCACTCTGTTGCGAGTCAGGCTATAAGATAGTCGATGTAGCAACATTTACACATGTTTTAAAAATGTTTTTTATTAAATCAATAACAAAAACACCACTAATTAAAAAAAACTTTTCTAGTCGTTATAATTGCGGTTTTTTAAAAATTTTTTAAAAAACAATTAAATTTAATGTACTTCTGCATAAATTAATTGCTTTGACATTTCGATGACAATCAAAAACAGCTTAAGAGACGAGGTAATTAAAATTGTAGTCGTAAGAGACTTTTTTTACATTAAAACGCTTTTTCGACTACACTATATGGGTATATATATATATATATATATATATATATATATATATATATATATATATATATATATATATATATAAACATATATAAAAGCATACTTAGACCGGCAGTCTGACGCCTTACTGAAATAGGGAGCTACAGGTGCTTTAGTAAATATTAATATAGAGAAAACATTATAAGGACCTGCTGCTACATCAACTAAGGGTTTGAGTTTAGGCAACGATAATTTTTTTTAATCTTTTCCTTTTTTTTTTTTTTTTACTTCTTTTTAAGAAAAAAATCTTATGGATTTATGTCAGCATTATGCTCTATAGTAATTTATATGCACTACACTAATATATATATATATATATATATATATATATATATATATATATATATATATATATATATATATATATATATATATATATACATTCTATTTTTTATATAGATATCTTTTAAATAGTAATTACTGATTACTCATTATACACAAATAATTATAACGATAATACTAATTATAACAACAATAATAATGATAATAATGTGAACTTACATTAACACCATTTAAAAAATTTCCAACAGACAACAACAGACCAAGTATTTTCTTAAATGTATCACTTTTTTTTACTTCTTCGCAAAGACATTTCAAATCACTTAATGCTTCACCAATTTCCTAATAACACGTAAAAAATATACCATCGAAATAACTATACAAAAACATGTATTATTTAGATCACAAACCAAACGGAAACAGTTGCCATTATATAAGAAAAATAAATATAACCTGATAATGATAATTAAATTACTTTTTCATTAGTTTCATAATCCATTTTAAAACTCCACAAATTAAGCCTAGCTGATAGTTCTGTTATAGAAGATAGTGTCATTAAAAAGTTTTCTGCATGAGCAAAAGGTGTGTCAGGAAATTGAATTTGTGCTTCTTGTAATTTTGTTTTTTCTTCATCAGTTGGAATCATTACCATAATTTTCTGTAGAGAAAAATATGTAATTTATTCAATTAAAAAATAAAATTAATTAAAACCAAAAGATTTTCTTTGATTAATGAAAATAAAAAAATAGCACATACTTCAATACCATCACGATCAATAACAGCACCATCCATATCTAGAATTGCTTGTTTAATAACTCGTACAGGAGGCAGTTTAGTTAAGACTATATTGATAGCTTGTGCACGTTTTAAATCTAAAACAGATATCTCCTTTTTAACAACTTTATCATTTATGGAGTCTTGTTTTGTCATAGTCTTCACACGATTTTCAAACAAATGCTCCAATTTTTTAGTATCAACTTCAACTGGTGCAATAGAAGCCCATATTGTCTTGTCCATTCCTTGTTGCAAAGTCCCAGGTTTTATTTCTTGCCAAAAAAGACGAACATATTTCCGATCATGCCCTTTTTGATTGCTCAAATCCCCATGCATTGGAGGACCAGGAATACCTGGAGCTGGGGGTGGAGGTGGAGGACCCATTCCAGGTGGTAAAGGAGGAAACATTCCAGGTGGTGGAGGTGCACCAAATCCTGGTGGAGGGGGAGGGAGTGGAGGACCTCCATCAACTGACATAACTGTCATAGATTTTGGTGGAGTTCCTAAAAAATCATTATCGTCAGCCTCATTTAAGTCTGTAAAATCATATTCTAATATACATAATTTTCGAGTCCGTAAAACTTTGCTTTCTAACTCAATTTCTTCTGAAGATCTAAGTGCTTTATTATTCATTGTATCCTGAGGAGATTCCTGAGGAGGTTTTACACTAATTGCAGATTTAACTTTATTGAAAAAACTGGACTTTTCTTCTTTTTTTTCTTTTTCTTGTTTTTCAGTTTCAGCTCTAAGTTTGTTAGTTTGAGTTTGAATGTTTCCTTTTAAACTATCAAGTTCAACCTTTTTATCTTCAACCTCTTCTTCAATTTTTTCATTGTGCAACATAGCTTTGCGTTCAGCTAATGATTCACTTATACTTAAATTTTTAATATCTGGTGCCTCATGATCATTTTTATCAATAGATGCATTATACATCTTACGCAACAACTCTCTCCGATTCTCTGCATCAGCCTCTGTGTTACTAGTTTTCCGACTGTAATCAAACTCTTCTTGATTTGATGACTTTGATGGTGATACTACTCCTATAGAAGTGGGATCAGAATCAGAATGCAACCTATCATTTTTCTGTTTTTGCCGCTCAGCTAAACGATCTCGTAGTGAAGGTCTGATTTCATCTTGGTCTTTTAAATCAAAAGTTTCACTCAAGTTTAAACGAGGTATTCGAGTTTCTTCAATAACAGGTGTATTAAGTTTACCAACACCTCTCTGAACATTAGAATGACCATTCTGCATTAAATGTACTAAAAATTAACACAAAACAATAATTGTTAAAATATCAAAATAATTTATTTGTTTAAATTTCTTTTTAAATTTATTAAGTGGAAAAAACTAAAAAAAATCAAACATTCAATTTTAATATTAATATTATTATTGTGATACTAATATTAAATAACAATTAGATTTCTTATTTAAATGATGACAAAATAATTAAAATGTACTACATGATAAAATATTAAAACTAACAATCCATTATTATCAAATTAATAACATAGTAATCTAAATACTTAATACCTGATTATTTAATACTTGATAGTCAGTTAATGATTATTTTATAAGTAAATTCACAAAAAAGATTTCTTTATCAAGAGCTAATTAGCCATTTTTCGTTCAGAAAAATGGCTAATTTTTCGTTCAGAAAAATTAGTTTTTTTTCGTTCAGAAAAATTAGTTCTTGATGAAGAAATCAAAATATTTTAGTTTATTATTGGAAATTTGTGATGTGTGGCTAATTTTAATTCCAGCTGTAAAAAATCAGAGTGTTAACAGTGCCATGTTGTGCGTGTATGGTATTCCTGTTAATGCTTTTGATGTGTATTAACAAGGCCGCAAAAGGAGCCCTAAGTTATGACTTTAGGTTAATTAGCAGGGCTGAGACAATCGCATTGCTGCTTGCTTGGCATGTTGTGCTCTATCTGTAAATTAGTTAAGTTCTTTTTAAACTAAAACCATGCCTAAAGTAACTAAAAATATTAAACATACAAAACCATCAACACCACCTGTTGTAATATATCTTTCACAAAAATTCATGGTCTGTGATGTAACTTTCCATCAGTTGAAATTTACCTCATGCAAAATTCACCATACTTGCTTCCTCTTTGCAAGATTCATTAAAGTTCAGCTGTCCCTTCTTCAGATCTCAGTATTAATGGGTACAATCATAAGATTCGCAAAGACTCAAATACTCACATGCTTGGTTTGAGGATATACTTGAGTATCAATTTACCTATTTCTCAAGAAATCAGGTTTGAATCCTCTGACCGTTCTTTAATGTGCTTCTGCTTAACTTCACTTTATCACATTTTTCTTTGTTCTTTCCATTTCTTTCCATTGTTCTCCTTCTTCTCAAGAAGGAGAACAAAGGAAACTCTTTGGGAATTTCTGATCATGACTCTTTTTTTGCCTCTCTTTTTCTTTACCTCTCTACCTCAATATTGTTGTTATTAGTAAATTTAACACTCATCGCACTGAATGGCTTGGCTCTAACACTACTAACACTGCTGGCACTAAAGCCCATAACTTCTAAACCTTAACTTGTATTTCTCGATCTCTTACTCAGATAATTAACTATGCTGACTCATTTTACTAGACTACCCTAATCACTAACCTTCACTTCACTTGCCTTCTACTTAACTTGTGTCTTGGCCATGACCCTAGCTTATGTTTAGTTTCTCCTTGTTCTCCTATAGGTATTTTGAACCATGTAATGATCTCTATATATCTTTTATCTCAAACTTCTTCTTCTAACTCATCATTGGAATTCTTATTACTACCCTAAAGCTGACTGAGATTCTTTTTAGGATTTTTTGTGTTCCTTGGTGCTAATGTTTTTTCTCTCTGATGATAAATGCACCTCCTACATAACCTCCTGGATCCAGGCAGGTATAGTTTTTATTTCTTATCAGTTTTAATTCAAGCCTAATTCAACTCTATAATTTTTACCTTGGTGTGCAGCTACTATATCCAATCATAATTTTTTTTTTATCTTTTTCAAAAGAATAGCTCTTTTGAGAACAAACACCTTATTGCAAGAAATCAATGTAAAAAATTGCTGATTATTCCCAATTTACTTAATCTTATCTCAGAAGTTCTACAAACTTTTTGAAAATCTCCAACAGTGTCATTAATTAAAGTACAAGAATCTTCTTAACTCATTTCTACTTTTAGGTTCTACTCATTCTACTGTATTTTCAAAGAACTTTTTTTCTAATTCAACTCTTGAATCTTAAGGCCATACTCTTCCTGCCATTACAGTTAAACAGGTTAGTCAATTGTTAGAAATTCAAATCGCTTCAGTTTCTGCTGCTTATATCTCAATAAAATTTAATAAAAATTTCTAATCTATTTATGTCTATTAAAAAAAGTCATACCTCAATAAAACTCAACCAAGGCTGGTGTTCCAGACAACATTCCTGTCATAGTTTAACAAGTGTGGGGTAGCGGTGTAGTGGTAAAACACTTGCTTCATAAGCGAGAGGTTCCGAGTTCAATCCCCACCACATCCCTGGTAGTACCGCGCTCAACTTGTTTCTCTGCGGAGCAGCCTTGTTCGTCAAGGTTCGTGTTTCGGAGTTATAGAGTTGAGAGAGGGTTATAACCACTATTAAGTAGCCTCCTCGTCTGTAGTGGCCTTCTCGGCCTTGAGGAGGTGAATAACAAAAAAAAAAAAAAAAGTGTCTTCTAACAGTTGGTTTTTGGTCTTCTTGTTTCATGCCTGATAGAGGTCTGATAGATTATACATTAAATAGAGGTGGCGAGGCAAGAGCTATTGCTTATGACATATCTAAAGCTTTCAATAAAGTTTGGCATGATGATCTTCATAAGCTTGCTTCACATTCTCCATAAACTTGCTTTATATGGTGTAATTGGGAACGTTTTTGAGTTTATCAAATCAATTCTTTTTAACTCACTTTATTAAAGTCATCCTACAAGATTAACACTCTTCTTCATATCCAGTAACTTCTGGAGTACTTTGAGGTTCTACCTTTGATCTTGCTTTGCTTCTTATCTACATTAATGATGTTCCATGACAACCTTACATCTAAAGTGCCTCTTTTGCTGATGACTCAGCTTTATACTTCTTAATAAAAAATCTTATTTCGATTGCTTAGAACAGGCAGCCAATCTTGAAACTGATCTCACCCCTGTAACAGGTTGGGCCTTGCAGTCGCTTGGTAATTCCAATTTAATAGTTATTTGCTGCACAACTATCGCAACATTCCTATATTAATAAATGGTAATCTTCTCACTTTATTCCTCTTCTTGGATTATTATTTGCTACTGACTCTCATGGAAACCATATAAAAAATCAATTGCAAAGTTAGTATCTGTTAAGGTTGCTTCTCTTTATCATGCTCACTATTATTTTATTCCTGATTTCATTCTCTACCTTTATAAATCTTTTATTCGTCCCTGTATGGAATACCATTTTCATATTTGGGCTGGTTCTTTTAATGATGCTCTATTTCTTTTAGACAAAGTCTAAAAACACACTGTTAATGTAGTTGAACATGCCAAGCCGGAGCCTCTCTCCCAATGTCGGAAAGTTGCATCCTTTCACTTTTTGACAAATACTATCATGATTGCTGATCAAAAGAGCTATTGCCTCTAGGTCCAAAAACCAAATCTCATTCTTTTATGATTAATCATTCAGCAAAGTCACATAACTTTACTGTACCTGACCCTGCATGCTCTAAAAGCTTTTATATAATTAGTCCCCCCCCCCCCCACTTTAACCATTTGGAACTCTCTCTTATCTTTATGTTTTCCTGACTCATACAACTAACAACTTTTCAAGTCATCTATCAACCGTTTATTTGTTCTACTCTTATTTTCTAGTAACTCACAACTTGTTAGTGGTTGCTTGCAGCCAACTCTACTCTTTTTTTTCTAGTAACTCACAACTTAATGGTGGTTGCTTGCAACCTTATTGGGAGTAAATTATAATATTAAAAAAAAAATTTTAGGCATTATATTTGCTTAAAAGTTAAATTTTCCATGCTAATTCATTAGTTTAAATAGAAACTATGTTAATGCATTAAACTTTTTATTAGCAACATGTTCCCCTGTTGGTTAAAAAAAAACTACTTTAAAACACATTCAATGTTTAACAAATATCATATTCTTTTAAATACCTGGCTTTGAAGGCATTTCTTTGTCAATATGTCCCATTTTTGTTGTGACTTTGGTAGCACTTTCTTCTATTTTATCCTGCACACCACTAAATTTTGAAGATGCATTATTTTCAACTTTTAGATTTCGATCACTAAATTTATTTTCAAAATATATAAACTAAAAACAATATACAAATAAAGTATTAAATATAAAGAGTTTATACCCTGTAAATTCAATTTAGGTAAGAAGGTTGGAAATGATTAATTTGTTAAAAAAATGATTGTTGATTTGTCACAAAAATGATGCTGATTTAAAAAATTTTAAACTTGTATCTAGATTTTGTTACATATATAAATCATTAAACAATATTAAAAACAAATATACCTTTTTGTTTAAATAAGAAGTATGAAGTTATGTAGATGACCACTTCAAGTTTCATCTGAAATGCGCAGATGATGAGACTTGAACTGGTCTCTGCAAAAGTTACTAAAAAGAAAGAAAGAAAAAAAAACCTCGACAACTTTTTACTTCTATCTTCCTCTGCTTCTTTATGCGCATTTTGTTTTTCAAATGGTTTAGACAAAAGGTTTGGAGCACTCGTTGTAAAAGAATGTCGAATGCTTCTTCGTCCTATTAAAAAAAAAAAAAGCAACAAGAAAATAAACATAATATTTGATCTGTATCCTGTTTATAATTATTTTTCTTAATCTGCATTCTATCTAACCAACAGTCATTATTACTAATATTATAATAAAATATTTCAATTAAAGCTATCTATTCAGTCATGCTTTCTGTTTGTTTTAACTTTAACAATATATTTATTTGAAAGAAACAGAAAAACAATTAATTTTCTTTATTCTAAAAACCACTAAACTAATCAACAAAGAAAGGAGACATGAACATCCTAGTTAAAGGCTTCTCCACAGTGCTTTGTGATAAGATTGTAAGAACTACTGGAAGCACCTTAACAACCATACAGAAAAAATAAATTAAAGTTTAGGTTTGGACAAGCGCAATAAATGTATAAAGAATTACAACACAAGATTTATATATAACATAAGTTTCTATAACTAATCTTTCTTTGTCTAAAAACTGCCTGGAACAAAGTCATTTAAAATAATAAAAATAATTTTGTGCAAAACATGGACAATGCCAAACTAAATTTGCAGAAGTGTGTATATATATATATATATATATATATATATATATATATATATTTATTTATTATAACTATTAATTTATTTTTTGTTATAAACTTAAATAAAAATATATTAATAACAGAAATAAAAAAAAACTTTTAATTTTACCATCAGGAGATTTCGAAATCCTTTTTGTTCTATTAAAGAAAAAGACCAAAATAATTATTCGTTGAAAAGTTAAAAGTAAAAAACAAAATCTTTAAAAAGATAGAGATTTTAGAAAATTAATGGCACTTACCTAACACCACCAGGAATATTAAGATTCTTTGGTACATCTTCATCTTCAGCTTTAATTGATAACTTTATGTCAAAAAAAAAAAAAAAAAAAAGTTACTTTCATGTCATACAAATAAAAAAAAAGGCAAATTCATTTAGAAAAAACAAGATTATTCATAGTAACATTTTGTAAGTACTTTAATATTAAAGAAATGCTATCACGAGAAAAGGGTGGCCACACTTTTTTTGTCTGAAAAAACTTGGATAATTTAGGATAATATAGGAGATTTTAAAATGTTTTTAAGGAGATTTATCAGGAAAATTGAAAAAAAAAGCATAAAAATCTTAGGAGGTTTTAGGAGGATTTCAAAAATAAAGTGGCACTAAAAAATTTTCATTTTATTTAAAAACTGTAAGAATACTAAAACATTTAAGGTAAAATTAGGGCCCAAACTATTTAAAATAATCTGATATCTCTAAACATACAAAAATATTAACTTGAAACAAATCAATTTCATACTTGCATTAGGGTAAAAATATATGAAATCATCCAGACCATGACATCCTTACGTCTCAGAATTTGTTTATTTTTACACCACTTGCAGTCCATATCAAAAAAATAATAACTGCGAAAATTTTAGTTAAAAATACTAATGGGTTCCATAGATATTGTCACTTGAAATAATGCTGACTCAGCATTTTAGTGATTTTCTGAAGCGACTACAAAGCAACTTTGACATATAGTATCTTCATAATGGCTTGGGGAAATTTCCTAAAATTTGGTACTCTAATAGATTTTAACTTAAGGAATCCAAAATTAGCACTCTTAAAACTCGATTATTTCAAGAAATGCCTCATTTATCCAATTTTGTTCAAAATTATTGACTTGTAAATTAGTGATTTTTGGAGGTAAAATAAAGACTTTGGCCCAAAATCCTGAGTAAAAATTTTAATTGTATATCATTATTTCATCTTAGGTCTACTGAAAAAAATTAGATTTATCAATTGTCTCTCTAATACTTGATCAAAATTTGCATTTAAAAATGGTGTCTTTTTAAAAAAATTTAATTTTTGTAACAAAAGCAATTAAAATACTTTTTAAAACATTTATTTGAATAAAACATCAAATAGTGTCATTTATTGAATAGTTTAGGACATTTATAGTCATGGACCAAGGGAGATACCCTCCACTCCCACGGGAGGCCCCTACACCCCCTCCCCCAATCTCCCTAGATTTTTTTTTTTTTTTTTTTTTTTTTTTGAATAAAATGAATAAATAATGCAAAAACATACAATTTAATTTTAATTTTGAAAAAAAAAATTTCATTATTTCAAATTGGTGACTTAAAACCTCCTTTTATATAAAAAACAAACATAAGTTTTGTTTTGTTCTTTTTAAAGGTATTTACTTGTTTGTATTTTCTTAAAGAATTACTTTTAATTTTATAGTTTTTATATTATTTTGTTAGGTAATAAATAATAAAAATAATTAATATGGAGAAATGTGACATTGGAAAAAGTCTTAACATTCATTGCCACAAAACTGGATTTTCAAGCAAACAAGGTTTTGTTCAATTTAAAGATCTTCCTTGTGAAAAACAAGTAGAAATAATATGGCGAGCAAACTTAAAGGAAAAATATAGTTCAATAAGAATTATATGTTGTTATCATGAGCAATTCTATGGAAAATATTTTGAGAGAAAAATTACAAAGTGTTCCAATCCTTTTGGAACACACAAGGAAAGTAAAAAAATTGCTATAAAAGGTAATCTTACCTTATTTACAACAGAATTGATATGGAAATTAAAAGAAAACAATTTATTATTTATAAAAAGTTTTATAATTTCAGTTATTTTAACAAATAAAACTAAATTTGTTTTTTAGGTAATATAAAGATTTCCATAGACATGGCAAACTATTTGCAAAAAAATAATGTTTATGTAACCCCAGGATGGAAATTCTGCAGTAAATGTTACAAAAAAGCAATAGAAACTGATGAAGATTTACAGGAGGAATGGGAATTCACAGGAGGAATGGGAATCAAAAAGTGAGAAAAAAATTAAGTTAGATACCACTATAGAATTGCTTGGAATCTCACTGGTCAAACTAAAAAGTCTTTCAAAACACAGCAAATTGCCTGTAGCAAAACAAAAGTTTGAGAACACTATTGACAGAGTTGCAAAAATGGTCTCATTAGCATATAATATTAAAGAAACTTTTTTAACAACAGAAATAAAAAGCCCCATTTTAAACAACAACATTAACAATGACCATGATCTAGACATTTTAATGTATGAAATAAAAAATAAAATTTCAGAGACTGACTCTTATCGCCATAAGGTGCAAATGTTAACACTTGCACCAAAATCATAGACACGTAAAAAGATATCAAGCTACTTTGAAGTGTCTGAGTATCTTGTTCGAACAGCAAGAAAAGTTAAAAATGAGAATGGAATTCTATCATTACCCGGGAAAAAAACTGGAAACCCACTTTCACCAGAAACAGTTAATTTAGTGATTAACTTTTATCAAAGTGATGAATTTTCAAGAATGATGCCAGGAAAAAAAGATTACGTAAGTATTAAGAAAAACCAACATGTTCAAAAAAGATTATTGCTACTCAATCTTAATGAATTACATGTTGCATTTAAAAAAGATTACCCTAACGTCAAAGTCAGTTTTGTACTCTTAAACCTAAATGGTGTATTACAACTAATGCGTCAGGTACCCACAATGTATGTGTTTGCATACATCACCAAAATACAAAATTTCTCATTGATGCCATTAGGTGGAATAAAAGTTATAAAGATTTCATGGCATTGATTGTTTGCTCTCTTGAAAATGCAGAATGTATGTTGCATCGATGTAACCAATGTCCTGGTATTGAAGCGTTAAAAAGTTTTTTAGTGCAGGAGTTTATGGACCATGAGCATGAAGAAGATGTAGTATTTAAGCAATGGCAGAGTACAGATCGTACAACACTACTTTCACAGTCATTGCCACTAGATGAATTTATTGATTTATTATGTGACAGTATTGACAACCTTACCACTCATTCATATATTGCAAAAACACAAAGTAGATACTTAAAAAACTGTAAAGAAAATCTTAACCAAAACGAATGCTTAATTTTAGGAGATTTTGCTGAAAACTATCAATATGTTGTTCAGGATGAGGTTCAAAGTTATCACTGGAGCAAAAGTCAATGCTCACTTTATACAGTTGTACTTTATTTTATAGAGAACAAACTTCTCAAACATAAATCTTTTTGTTACCTTTCAGAAGATGTTGATCATGACACAGGATTTATTTACAAGACTCAGGAAGATATAACTAGATATATCAAAGAAAATCTACCTGATGTATCAAGTGTGAAATACTTTTCTGATGGTTGTGCAGCACAATTTAAAAATTTTAAAAATTTTATCAATCTTTGTCATCACAGTAAAGACTTTGATTTAAATGCTGAATGGGTATTTTTTGCTACCAGTCATGGTAAATCCCCCTGTGATGGTATTGGTGGGACTGTTAAAAGAGTAGTATGTCAAGAAAGTCTAAAACAAATAACTACTGGGCAGATTTTAGATGTTAATTTAATGTACTCCTTTTGTAAAGCCAAGATAAATGGAATTTATTTTAAGTTATTTTCAAAAGAAGAAATTGATCAAACACGAGCACAATTAGAAAAAAGATATTTAGGTGGAAGAACAGTTCCAGGCACAAGGATGTATCATCATTTTATTCTAATTGCTCCCAACACTATAAGTTATAAAAAAATAAGTATTGATGCATACACTGAAATACTTGATATCATTCCAAAAAGCAAACATTATGTAGATATTTCATTAAATATTAAAAAAATGGATTATATTGCATGTTTTTATGATGGATTTTGGTGGGTAGGGATTGCTGAAGATGTAAGTGAGCTTGATATAAAAGTCAGATTCATGCATCCACATAGATCAGGTAAAAACTTCTTTTGGCCAATAAGCACTGATGAGTGTTGGGTGCTCAATTCTGAAGTTATATGCCTAATTTCTACACCCACAACAATATCAGGTTGTATATACAACATAACTGATTTAGATTTGGAGAATATAAACTGCTGGTTACAAAAAAAAATTAATTATGCTTAAAATAATTTTGTTTTTATTTTATTTACCTAATTTGCATTTTAAATGTCTTTTGTTTTTTTCAAATCATTGGATTGTAGGCTGAGAAGGAGGGGTGGGGGTTTAAATAAATCACAAATCACTCCCATCTTATTATGTCAATGACTATATTAGTCTAAAACTACATAAAGATATTTATTGTCAATATGTTTTAAAAACATTTTAAAACATTTGTTTTTGAAATTTATGACTTAAAATCGTAAAAAGATCTTTGAAATAAGAGGTAAGTATTTATCAATTTGAAGTAACGCAAATAATTTGTTTCTCAAACTTAAACTGAAAAAATATGTTTTTAAAATGTATTTTAACAATCAACTATTATTTATTCATTTTATGTAAAAAAAAAAAAAATCTAGGGAGATTTGGGGAGGGGGCAGAGGGGCCTCCAATGGGTAGGGAGGGCATCCCACTTGGCCCATGACTTTAAATGTTTATTTAAATTTAAACTAGTCAATAAATAACACTATTTGGTGTTTTATTCAAATAAATGTTTAAAAAAATATTTTAATTGCTTTTGTTACAAAATTTAAATTTTTCTAAAAAGACACCATTTTTAAATGCAAATTTTGATCATGTATTAGAGAGACAATTGATGAATCTAATTTTTTTCAGTAGACCTAAGATGAAATAATGATATACAATTAAAATTTTTACTCTGGATTTTGGGCCACAGTCTTTATTTTACCTCCAAAAATCACTAATTTACAAGTCAATAATTTTGAACAAAATTGGATAAATAAGGCATTTCTTGAGATAATCGAGTCTTAAGAGTGCTAATTTTGGATTCCTTAAGTTAAAATCTATTAGAGTACCAAATTTTAGGAAATTTCCCCAAGCCATTATGAAGATACTGTATGTCAAAGTTGCTTTGTAGTCGCTTCAGAAAATCACTAAAATGCTGAGTCAGCATTATTTCAACTGATGATATCTCTGGAACCCATTGGTATTTTCAACTAAAATTTTTGCAGTTATTATTTTTTTGATATGGACTGCAAGTGGTGTAAAAATAAACAAATTCTGAGACCTAAGGGTGTCGAAAATTATTTTTTTTGGATGATTTCATATATTTTTACCCATTAGAAACTTAACAAATTTAACATTACACTAAATAGATGACTTTATGACTAAGTAACAAACAATAAATAATCAAAAATCATTAAAATACACAGTCACACTAAACTTTATGTTTTATATTATCCAGTCATAAAAAGAAATAATCAAATCAGAATTTCAAAAAGAAATAATCAAATCAAAAAAAATAATCAAATCGAAAACAAAACGATTGAAAAACATCAAAGTCTAAGTTTTCTTGTCGATAAGTATTTTTTTTACTGCTGTAATTTTTTCTAGTAATACCTGCTTTTCAGAAACAACCCTCTTTAGTGCATTAGATTTTAGAATTGTTGACTTTAATTCTATCAATGATTTCTGCTTTTCCGCTTGCAATGCATACTCATCTGCATCATACTGAGAGGAAGTATGGTACCTTCAAGATTGTGAACTTGTTCATTATAACTAGTAAGGGGTCGTCCATAAATTATGTCACGCTATAAGGGGGAGGGGGGATAGGTGGTTTTGTGACGACTTATTCAAAACTCGCTTCTTAAGTGTTACGATTTTGTGACGAGGGGGAAGGGGGGGGGGTTGAAAACGGTCAAAAATTGCGTGACGTAATATATGGACAACCCCTAATCTCTTTATTAAAATTTTTCAGTTTCATGGTCAGTTCTTAAGGCATTTAGGGACATTGCTTTCTGACTGCTAAAGTGTAGTTTTCGTGCATCCTTGACATGCTAAGTTTAGTTGTCATAGCCAATTGGGATGATTTTATATTTTCACTGCACATATGGTCATGTACAATTCTCTGTGCAACAAGAGTATCAGTTAGCATACTATTATCCAGAAATTGGTTTATACTAAAGTTTATACTAATTCCACGCTCTACTTGTGCTTGGTCATGGGACAATATTGTATTAATTGGTAAATTTTCATTAAGTCCTTTTTTGAACATGGACAATGCCAAATTTTGAAGCATCTGTATATTGAACCAAAAAAGAATCCAATCTTTTTTTTTTGAATCCAAGAAATTTTTCCTTGTTCACTTTTACAACAGTAGTTAAAAATTGTGAATACTGTAACTTGTCTTGATCAGCAGCTGAAGGTGAAATCTTTTTATAAGCAACTAATTTCAGCAACAACTTGTCAAAATAAAGTTCACACATCTCATGAGATACAAAAGTGATAAACTAATAAGTATCTGGCAAAGTATGAGTTTAGAGCACTTTTTTCAACCATATGTTTGCACATTGTAACTAAAAACTGTTGAACTTCTGTTTTAAAATTATAGATTTGTGCATCAGTAATTTTTTTCCCTAGATTTCAATTGCTGCAACTCATATTTTATTCCGAACCCAAGATCAATATTTGCGACCAACACTTGATTTTTGACTGATACCAACTTTTATTAATTTAAAAGTTGTGGATGCTTTAGAAAAAACTTCTTTTTCGATAAATTTTGATAAAAATAGCCTCAGTAAATGTTTCCACAAGTGTTTCCACAAGAAAAGGTGTCATAGGATTGTTGGTTTGGAAAACTAACAAAAAAGAATTTAACAATTTTGCAGTTTTCTTAAAAAATTGCAAATTTATAGGGACTAACACATCTTTATAGCATGAAGAAAAGTAGACAGTATTTTGTATAGTATTTTGGCCAGGCTTACATTGACCAGGTTTCTTGCTTTTTTGTAAATTTTTCTAAAAGTCAATAATTACAATAATCTTGGGCCATATTTCCATAGCTCTCTTTGCTACTTTCTCATTTTCAATCCAACAATGGCTACAGAACTGTAGAGCATAGTCTGAAGACTAAACTTGAGTAAGATTTTCATAATCAGCAAGACGAGAAGGGCTCTCATGGAATATCTTATACAATGAAGACAGTAATTTGTTCAATTTCCATCCTGAAGCATTTGTACCATTATTGAATGAACAGTGCATTGTGTGAAGGCTGCATGATCCAGTTGATACTAACTGAATGAGTTCACATTCACTTTTCTTAGCATTTAAATTAGAGAGGAAAGACATGTTAACATTTAGATCATCCATGGAAACCTAGAGTATTTTATCTTCTTCTAAACCACTTGTACATTTACAGAAATTTATCATAATATCAACAGTAGCAGCTTTCCGCAAAAATTCAGAGTTAAAACATCTTGCTTTTACCATCTCTAATGAGGAGTCCCAATATCTAACATGCAAATCCATTTGACTCTTCTTGACAACTTGGTTGTAAAATTCATCAAATTGGCAAACAAACTGATCAAGATCTGATGTCTCACACAAAACTTCCTTAAAATATGGTGCAATTCCAAAGAACACAAAAAATTTTCAAAACAAATGCTGTTAAATATTACCCATGTTAACATGTTAAATTTACCATGTTAAATTTATACCATTAAAAAAATATAACTTAAGTATACACAGTGCACACATTTGGCTTAACTGGTGGCTCCATGACTGTTTGTATTTTTTTTATCACTCACAGGCATATATTGTTTACATTTTTATTCATTAACATGTATTTTCAATGTTTTTGTATCTAGATCTGTAACAGACATAACCTTTAAACACATAGTACATATAACATTCAAAAATACATGTTTTTTTCATTAACATGTATTCCAATGTGTTTGTATCCAGATCTGCAACAGATAAAACTTTTAAACATACAACAATCATCTAGGTCATATTTAAAAAATTCAGAATATATTTTGCAAAAAACATTGTTAAACAATGCAGAATAATTTATTTTATAAATTTAGCATTCAGCTGGTGGCTTTCTCAACTTTATGATAGGTGATCATTGAAAAAGTTAAAAAAAACAAATGTATTACAAAATTATATTAAAAAGAAAAAAAAACTTATGGCAAAAAAGAGTAGTTAAAAGAAAGATATCTGGAAATAAAAAATCATCAAACATATCTAACATAATAACATAATACTTAACCAAATAAAAAATTTTATAGTTATTGTCTTTTAACCACTTTTAAAATTTAGCTTTATATTTGACTGACATTTTCTATTATGAAAGTACAAAAAATTTTAGGTCAACTTAATTAAAATAAAGTTTTAATAAAAAATAATTTTGATGTTCAAAACTCAGGCAAAAATAAGAAAAAAAACCTTAAATTTTATTAGAATAAATTTTCTAGATTATTAAAATATTACTAAAATATTAAATATACATTTGAGTAACTTATTTTCTGTCAGTATACAACAGTACTAACTCCAAGTCTGAACCGTTTCATTAACTTTCTTGCTGATAATAGTTTATACATTATACTCAGGACATATAAATTAGGAGAATTTAGGAATATTTGAGATAATCACCTATACTTTAGAAGAAATTAGGTCTTTTTAGGATGTTTTTCAAATATTAGGATATTTTAGGATTTTTTTAGGAGACTTGGCCACTCTGAACAATGATGTTTAGAAGTAGATAGGTACATTAAGAATAATGAATTGTTACATTATAATTTTATAAAAATTGTATTAGTTAAATTATAATTTAATTTAAAAGTGTCTTGCAGTTATTTGTTCAAGTTTAAATTTGTTTATAATTTTCTTGCAATCAATTAGAGGAAATTTCACAAGCAGAGCATAAATATAACTTGGTGTCATCATGTATAGATGACGCTTTGATTTGGAAATAATTTTTGTACATTAAGTGTTACACTAATCTACAATCCTATGTGAAATATAGTATATTATAATATATACTATAAACTAATATATTTTGTATTTTTCAGCTAAAGTTCCTGTTTTCAGTTTTTCTTAACAAAAAGCAATCTTCAATACTTTCTCTTAGTCTCTCCTTCACATTTTTTATTCATGTTAGAAAACTTAAAACATATTGAATTTAATTCAAGTCAATATCAGCAAAAATATTCAATAAAAATATTATACTCTTTTTGGTGCAATGATATTTAACACTTTAAGTTTCGGATTGATTGAATAAATGGAATTAAAACTGGAAACTTACACTAAATTCAGAATCATAAATTTTAAAGACTTTAGACATGACTTGACAAAATAAGATTTGGAACTCGATTTTAACTTTGATGCGAATAACTGACTGAATTTGAATGAATGACTGGCCTTAAACTTCAAGTTAAATCACAAGTCTTGCGCTCAAGCTCTAAAAACATTTGGAAAGGGAAATTTCGTAAACATCTTCCACAATATTAAACTTTATTTGTTTACATTCTATTTTACCCTCCAGCATATGCACTATACCTGAGGATAAAATAGGATGTTATGTTTATGTTATAAATATAACATCCTATTAGAACTTTTTAACAGTGGTTTTATATGCTTACATCTTAGAGATATAAACAATACATACAAACAAAAGCATCTTTAATGATCACCAACAGCCTAAAATCACACATTTTATGGAGAACTGTGTAGATCTTTATAGCAAATTCCACCCAAAAATAAAATTCCAAACAAAAAGCTACAATTATTGAAAAACTGTCTGACCTGATAACTAATTTCAAATTGCTAGTCTATTGTGAAAAAAAAGTGTTACTTTTTTGTTACTTTCGGAGAGTAGTTAATAGTAAGTACAACCACAGAACATTGACATTAAAGCAGCTATTTATATTTAAACTCATTTAAGCATAGATAATTTTTTAGTAACAAATATTTGGTGGTGTTCATTGGTTTAACTGTGCTTAATTCAGAAAAAACATAAAATAAGGTAAATCTCAATACTAATCTCTTCGAATCCAACTGTTTTAAAGGACCTCACACAGCCAAAAGAATATATGATCAATTTGGGTCTCAGAAAATAAAATGGATTAAATCATAAGTAACCATACTGCAAAAAATGTGTGTATGTATGTATGTATGTATGTATGGTATGGTATGGTATGATATGGTATGGTATGATTTGGTATGTATGTATACAGGCTTTCACAGGAAGACGTGCGATTTCTTGTCTTTATATGACCACGCAAGTTACATTTTGCTATGACGGTTTGACCGCGGCTAATTCAAAAAACATTTTAGAAACGCGCTAAATAAAAAATATTCTAAAAAAGTGAAATTAATTGCATCGAAAATTCTTAACAAATGTTTTTATATTAGCGAAACGATTTTAAATAAAATAACAATTTACTGAAAAAAAGTTTTGTTTTTTAAATATAAATGACAGTTGTGTATATTTTTTTATTTTAAAATATATAAATTGTTTAAGTGTTCATTTCTAAAATAAATCTTATTAAAAAATAAAAAATTGTTTTGTTTTTATAAACGATGACATTCTACGACTACGAAAGTCTCTTTAACGAATTTAAATATAAGAATGATTAAAGTTAATGCATTTAAAAAAATAAACAAAATTTCGTTGAAAAAAAGTTTTAGAAAACCGTTATAATTTAATAAGTTTGATCTTAAATGCTTTTATATTATCGAAACGCTTTTAATGAAGTAAAAAAAAAAAAACACTTCTAATTAATTAAAAAAAAAGTATTTATAAAATGTTTTTTAATTTTATGTATATAACTATGTATTTTTTATGTGAAATATTTAACTTTTGAACATACTAAACAAATAAAAAATATATAAAAATGTTAAAACAAAGATTGAAAAGGTTTTTTAATGCATAAATTAAATAGACTAAGCATTTTAGTTTGATGAGTTTTGTTTTAGTTGCGTTATATATATATATATATATATATATATATATATATATATATATATATATATATATATATATATATATATATATATATATATATATATATTTATTTTTGTGTGTTTTTGCTTTAACTAAGTATTTTTTTTTTTTAATTTTCTCTTTCGTTAATATTTATTATTTTTTTAAATTTTTTTTTCAGATAAGTTTAGGTAAGTTTTTGTAGCGCGTTTTTAAATTTTAAAAACATGCCGTGGTTAAATCGTTAAAACATTTTTTTTTTGTGTGGTCATATAAAGACATGAAATCGCACGTCCTGTGAAAGCCTGGTATATATATATATACACACACATATATATATACATATATATGTTAGGGTGTCTCGAAAAACAACTTTTTTTTAAATGTCTGCTACCACCCTCTGAATATGTTCTATATAATAAAAGAATACTGTAATTAAAGAAGCAAAATTTTATAAAAATTTCAAAAAAAATCATCACTTTTAAAAAAAAAATTTAACAAAAATTTTTTGTAAAAATGATTGTTTTCCTATAAAAAAAAATGATGATTTTTGTAATAATTTGAAATTTGCAATAAATTAATAGGTTTACAAACTTTTTTTTTTTTTTGAGAACCAACATATATTATATATATATATATATATATATATATATATATATATATATATATATATATATATATATATATATATATATATATATATATATATATATATATATATATATATATATATATATATATATATATATATATATATATGATATTATATATATATATATATGATATTATATATATATATATGATATATATATTTTCTGAATAATAAAGATCATCAGAAATGATAAAAAGTTTTTCTTGATTAGTATTTCTGATGAGCCTTCATTAATGAAACACAGTGTTAAATGAAAAAAGTTTGAAAAGAGATTTTCTACTAATTTTTTATTGCTCTGTTACTTTAAGAACATCAAGCACTTCATTTGGTGAAACACATTCTATTATAAATATTACCAACTTAGCTAATTTCTGTACTGTGGGTAATTGAAATTCTGTCAGGTAAGGGGAATTAAAAATTCAAAAGAGCTAGTTAAGTCTATTTATTTAGGGTATGAGTTAGGAAAATCTAATTATACTTTTCTGAAAGAATAATTAAATTTTTTTCCTTTAAATTAATAAAGCTATAAAACTCAAAAGCCCAATCTAAATAATACAAAATACTGCCCACATGCACTATAAAGTAAAGAAATTTATTTTTATTATTCTTAAATCTGTAAAAGTTCAAAAAAAAAAAAAATTCACAGAAAAGAAATAACATTCAAGATCACCTGCCTGGTCTAAGCAATCAAAAATGAAGAACTTTTATCAAGCCAAGAGTATATAGTAGTGTCATAAGCAAACAGAGCCACTTAAGAGACAAGATTATCAGAAAAATTATTACATATGTGTGTATGTGTATTTAGTAAACAGTGCATATTAATTAATAAAAATTATAATGGAAAAAAATAATTCAGTTATGTACCTCATAAATATTACATTGTTCAACAAGTTCATTGTTTTTTGGTGTTCGATTAATTAATTTCTAAAAAGCAAAACATAAATACAACTAATTAAACAGACAACAACAAAGTTAAAATTTCTTATTTAATATTCTTATGATTTTTAAAACCTAAACATATTACTTAATTTTAATATTTATAATAACCTACTCAAACCACTGAAAAACCTATTTTAATAAAGAAAGGTGCTGATAATACTAAACTAAATTGATAATACTAAACTAAACTGATAACCCTACTCAAACCATTGAAAAAAGTGGTTTTGATAAAGAAAACTAGGTGCTGATAAGAACACTAAGCCGCTTTAAAGTTCATTAAATTAAAATATTTTGTCTAGTACACAAAAGCTTAATTAAATATTAAACAACAGTACCTGTTTAATATTAATTTTTTAAAATTGGTTTTCTTTATATTCTTTTTTTTTTAACTTTGATTTTTATTTTTATGCACTGCTCATCCTAATTAAGGTGTTTGGTAATATATTTGAAAATGATAGGACAGCTTTATAAGGGTGAACCTGTTCCATTACCTCAAAAAGAAAAAATCTTAATACTTACTAAACTTTTGCACTTGAAGTTACAAATTTTTATACCCTACGGAGCTGCCTCATTAGCTAAGCCAACCACAATTAATTGTGATAGACTTATTGCATCATCACTCCAAATAAAGTAGAAAGAAACTTCATCAGTAGTAGTGCAGTGGTGCTCACTTTATAAGCAAAAATTACCGAGCTGTCGCCTTTTAAAACAAACTTTTTTTTCGCTTTAATGTGTTTGTAGACATAGCAAGGTAACAAGGTAAGGTAATAAAAAAAAAGGTAATAAAACAACTTAAAATTTAAGAATACAACTAGAAACTTAGATGTTTTAAAACTTTGATTGTTACATTAATTAATTTGATTTTTACAACATTATTAATACTCTGAAACTATTTCGAACGACATAAATTTATTATATAAATTTATCTTTTTAGTTGTACTAAACAACTGAAATTATGTAGCTTATTTATTCAAAAATTACATGTATTTTTCCAAACCCAAGCCTTCCAAGGAAGCATGTGCGATCACATGCCTTGTTTGTCCACATTTAAAGTAATTTTTTTAGACTACTTGACCACATTTTTATATAGTAAGCATTTTGAGAATTTGCAGCAAAATAAAGGTACAGGAAACTACATGAATAAAACAGCAATACTCGAAGAAAGGAAATGAATACGAAAAATGAATAAGAAATATAATATCTAAACCAAAAAAACTAAAAAAATAAAATTGAAAATTAATTTTTTATTATTTGCACCATAATTAAGGTCAATTTTAAATTTTTTTTTCAAATGTTTTTGCTTAACTTTATTGTTTTTATCAATGCACAGGAAAGCAAGAAAACTAATTGCTATTTATTTGTAAAAAAAAATGTTTATTTTTTAACAAGTTTTTCATGTAAAATAACAAAAAGTCTTTAATACTTATGTTCAAATATAAAATATTAAGTTGTTTTCAGTACCCCTATTGAGATGTATTGAGTCTGCACTTTTGTTGGGTTCTCCAAATTGTGCATTTTTGCATTTTTTATATACATTTTTTCAAACTGAGCAATCCTTATTTTTATTATCTCTAGTATTTCGTCTTAACATTGAAAATTGCAAAATGTAAAGTAAACAATTAGACAGACATCTAGTATTGTAAATACATTTAAAAAAGAAACTAGGTATTTTTTTACTTAACTTCTTCTGTCATTACAAAATTTATTAATCGAATAATATATTTTACAAATAAATGAAAATTTATTTTTTATTTATTAGTAAAACAATTTTTTAAAACTAAAAGTTGTGAAAACGACTAAATGTAGGAAAAAATTTCTCATAGTTCTAGAGTACATAGCAAATTAGTTTTGTAAAAATCGTGAATAAATTGATTAAAACTTTAAAATGTTACAAAATTGTTGTTATAAAATGTAATGTTTTTTTCCTCGACATGTATTAAATTCTGTGGCTAAAAAAATAACAACCTTAAAAAAAAGTTGTATAAAAAATTTATAAAAAAAGTTTTTTTTTTTTAATTATTTAATTTTCTAAGTTTATTTAATTATAACTTGTTATTTCGTTACAATTTTGTATCCTTTTTTTAGTATTGTTTTTTTTTTTTTTTTTTCTCAGTAGATAAGTTAAGCTTTTTGCAGCGAAATCCTGAAACACTTTAAAAAAGATCTGCCGTGGTCAGTGTGCCTAAAAAAATCCCTTTAAACTTGGGCATGCGGCCACATATGGCGTGTGACCACACGCGTTTTTTGGGAAGGCTTGAAACCTGTAATTTTTTCCCATAATTTATATAAACTAAACTATGTATGATTTGCTTTTATCAAATAAAAATGATTTAAAGAAGAAAAAAAGAATGCAATCAAGATAGTTGTTTGAATAACCTTATACAATCAAATTATTAAAAATATATATGTATATAGATAATATATTTGTATGTTAATAGTGTTAAGAATATTAAAGCATAAGAAATTCTATATACAAAATTCTCACATGACATATAACTTGCATACTCTGTTTCTCTAGAGCATCAACAACATTATAAAAATTGTCTTGATCAGGAATACCATACAAAACCTAAAAAATTATAAACTTATATTTATATCCATCTTTTCTTTTAAGTAAAAAAAAGCAAAACATATACTTCATAGAAACAAAACAAATTTTATTGGTGTGTAAATAAATACATTTTATTGAACTTGTATAAAAATTATAATAGACTTGAAGATATAGACCATGTATGACACAAAGATATGTATATACACTACCATCCATAATTATTAGAATGGTCGTACTTTTCGAAATAAGATATCATAGTTTTACTATTGGGAGAGAAACTGTGAGCAAAGTCTACCTGAATTATATGCTTTCTTCTTTTTTTAATAGGTTTACAAAAATATTAATAAAAGTCTGATTAGATTAATTTATAATTTACTTATCTTTTAATCACTCTTAGCAACAATAACTGGCATACATATTCTTGGCATTCTACTTAATAACTTATCCAATTTGTCTAAGTCAATTTTATGCCACTAACTAAAAAGGTTTCTCCACATCTTATGCATCAATTGGCATTCGTTTTTAACAATACTCTTAATTTCACTCAAAAAATCTTATAGGAGAGCAATCTTGTAATTGGAGAGGCTTTTATCATCATTTTATTTAGTATTTGATCGTTCTCGAACTCAGTTAAATAAATTGAACAAATTTTTGAAAAATATGTTTTAGATTTAAGCTTCAAGTCATTTTCTTTTGAAAAAATTAATTGCTTCTCATTATCCCATCTTTCCGAAGGTACAGCATAATTTTTAAAAATTACAAGCAAACTACTTTTGACATTACTCCCTCTATTTTCACAGTCACCTGTGGCATTCTAACCAAAACACCTCAACACTACATCAGCCATGTTTTACAGTCAATAATACACATTATTTTATCATATATGTATTTAGGGGATATGGGGCCAACAAACTTTGGAGCCTTTTTGCAACTGAAGGGGTCCTTTCACAGAGGCCTTTTTTTTTGTTGAGAGGCGGGGGGGGGGGGATCTAAAATCTTAAAGCTGCAGTACTGTGTATATATATATAAATATATATATACATATATAAATATATATATAAATACATATATATATAAATATATATATATATATATAATTATATATATATAAATATATATATATAATATATATATATATATATATAAATATATATATATAAATATATATATATAAATATATATATATATAAATATATATATAAATATATATATATTTATATATATATATATTTATATATATATTTATATATATATATTTATATATATATATATATTTATATATATATATATATATATTTAATAAGAGAAAATAACTTATCCCTTTATCTGTCTCTCGCATTCTCACTTATCTCTTTTTTACCATTCCTTCAAAAACAACTTAATTTATTAACAACAATAATTACATGCTTAAACCCAAGAAAAATCTATATATTAGAAAAAATCTAAGAAAAAACTTTATATAAGGCTATATAACCCTTTCTGCCACTAAAAAACAACAACTTACTTTATTAACAAGTGTAAGAGAATATACAAGCAAATCTTCATCTATATTATTCCCTTCTGATTCTTTAAGTATATCAATTATGCCTTTCATAGGTAGTTCACCTAAATTAAAACACAATTAATAATTTTTTATAGTTCTATAGTTTTATAGTTTTATAGTTTTGATCCATTCAAATCAACAGATACATACATACATACATACATACATACATACATACATACATACATACATACATACATACATACATACATACATACATACATACATACATACATACATTCATATATAAATACAAATATACATACAAACATACATTCATATATAAATACAAATATACATACAAACATACATCTTGTTATCAAGTATTATTATGTATCATTTTGACAGCCTTAAGCAAAAGTTGCCTATACCATTTTTTTAACATTTAAGATTATCACAAAAAATTATTATTAAGTAAACTTGTTAAAACCCAACATAAAGTTGGATCAAATATGTTCTGTTATCACATATGTGATAAAAAAACCTCTTTAGGATGGATTTTTAAATAATCTTTATGGTGGATTTTAACAAGTTCAATTTAAAATAAAAGATTTCTTGTGATACATTTCCAAATTGTAAAAAAAAGACCAATCTACTATTGCTTTAATCTGTCAATTTGGATTATACTAAAAGTGTAATGGAAATAATGCTGATACAAATTTTTAAGAGATAACGCTTTTAGCATTATGTTAAAAATGTTATCTCTTGAAATATTTATATTGACTTTTAATAGTGGATGTTTGTTTAGAGATTATATTTAATTATTTAATGTAAAAAAATATTTTTTCAGGAAGGGAGAGGTTTAGCACTTAAGTTGACTGACAAAATAAGGAATATATAGTATATATATAAACAAATAGTATATATAGTGTATATTACCTTTAAAGCACACAGCTTTTTTAGAAAAAGTAGAGAAAAATTGAAAGAAAACGCATTTATAGTTATATATATATATATATATATATATATATATATATATATATATATATATATATATATATAACATGTGGTTACTAAAAATCTGGACTAAATTTAACTGACCTTAAAATGCTACAAGCTAAACTTTTTTTTTCATTCTTATATCCATTTTAGGGCTTATTTAATTCTCTAAAGTTAATTTAATTGTTTTTAGATAATAAAAATTAGATAATTAAAAAAATGGATTAACAAGTTCTAATTGAATAATAAATTGCAAGGTAAAAAACAGTAGATCATTTCTTGGAATTTGTTCAATGCTGAACAAATTCCAAGAAACATTATCTATGATATAATCAAATGTGCTGAGAATGATTCTGGACGTCTGAGAACCATATTTGACACAGTGACTGAGTTTAGATAGAATAGAGTTTAGATAGAACAGTGACTGAGTTTAGATAGAAGGCAACTGGGTCGAAAATTTGGATGCAGTCATACATCAGGCTTGGTCGGGAAGCGGGAGCGATCGCTCTCGAATACTGACCACGGAAATTATATTTAGTTGCGTAAAACTGGCCAGGTTTTTTAGTCGTTTTGAGAACATTTAAGTTTATGTACGAAACAAAAAATTTTTGTTTTACGGACATACATGGAAACATAAAAAACTTGAATGTTCTCAAAACATCTTTGTGCGAAAGAATAAAAAGAATGTTTGCGAACACTAAAAACCCGCCAAATTAACGAACAAACTAATTCTATTGTTTAAAAAAATACGCTGATTAAGTGAAATAAAGTTCTAGAGTATTCTGTTAAAATGTTTTAGAAATTGTATTATTCACGATTTGTTACGTTTTGAGATTTTTAGCATTGTTTTAAGAATTTATATTATTTGTTTACGAAAATAAATGTTTTAAATATATATTAGTTAAATTGTTAAAATTTTCAAAGTTTATTATAAATCATAGATTTTATTAGTATATTCTTATTTTTTATTTTAAAAGAGATTGTATACTTTATGTAAACGTAATTTTGTGTATTTGTTTTTTATCGTAATGTATCTTTTAAAGCAATTTTTATGATTTAAACAAAGACTTACAAAAATAATTGTGTTTTTAATGAAGTTTTAATCGTTAAAGTTAATAAAACTAATTATGTAACAAACATATAAGAAGTTTCTGGTTACTAAACACAAACAACGCATACAAAGTAACTCGCGGATGAACAAGCATCGCGCCTGAGGTCACGACAGAACACAAATATATATAGCAAATAATTAGATATAAAGAAAAATTTCTAGATATTGATTTACTAACTCTAATTATTTTTGCTTAAGTTGCCATTCTCAAAACTCGTTATACTTTTTTCTGCTTTAAACACTAAAATTTAAAAGCCCACTCACTAAACATCATCAGCAATATTGTGAAGCAGTTTCGCTTCCTGGTCATTAAGTATTTTTAACCTTTTTAGTTGATTTCTATCTTGATAATTTAATTCTTATAGTAATTCAATGATTTAATTATTTCATTTGTTTATCTTACTAAGAAGAATCGCTTCAAATATGTTAAACTTTTCAAACTACGCGAAACATTAAATAGGTATTGAAAAAATTAACTTTTTTATTTATAAAATAAATTAAGCTTAAGTAAAACTAAAACTTGCAAACTTAATTAAATAAAGAATATTTGTTATCCTTTTAAACAATCTTTTAAGTTGTATGTTTCTATAAAAAGTTGATGTTTCTATAAAAAACATTGCCTAATTTTATAAAAAAAATTATAAAAGAGCGATGTTTCGAAAATATTTGTTTTAAATGTAATTTATTTAGCTTTAAATTTTTTCGCATTTAAAGATATTTTATTTGCCTACTTTTTTTTTTTTGTAATTGTCTCTCGTTGGTCCAATTAATCTTCGTCGCTATTTTTTTTTTGCTTTTTAAAATGTTCTCAAAACGACTAAAAAATCTGGCCAGCTTTCGAGAGCGATCGCTCCCGCTTCCCGACCAAGCCTGGTCATACATATATACCAAGTACATACTTATGAAACAGGGTATACCTGATAGATAAGAGAGCCAGAATAAGCATTCAAGAGCTGCATTGTCACATTCAATGATTAATGGAAACAGTACCTACTACTCTAGTGACAGAGACAAGACTCTACTAAGCATTAAATATTGCAAAAAGCGCAAGTTTGAACTCAAACTGTTCCTCTGACTGGCCGCTTCTGACAAAGATATTTTTAAGTCATTTTTTGTCCCAAGCTGCTTTGCAATCAATAAAGTCATCTACGAAATGGATTGTATTAAGTAGAGATTAGTGCCATTTATCAATGCTCATCATACCAATGGTAATTATGTATTTAGGCTGGACATGGCCTCATCACATTGTGTCATCAACTTCTATGAGACTCATAACATTAATTTTGTCAAAAAAGTTGACAATCTGCCAGCCATATTGCAGTAATGCCCAATCAAAGACTTTTGGGGTATTTTGAAAGGCAAAGTGTATGAGGGTAATTGGCAAGCAAACAACATGAAGCAACTTCAAACCAGAACATAGCTTTGTCTGAAAAACTTGACATTAACTTTGCATTTTCAATTTTTGGGTCAAAGTCTTAGAGTTGGCCAAATCTGAAGTAACAGACTGGTTGAAGACAAACTTAATTAAAATAAATAACAAAAAACTCTATTTAATGATATTTTTATTTAATTTCTACCTTAAAAACTTTGGGAGTGATTGCCCTTAAAAATTTTTAGTAAGCACCCGCTATGTATATGTGTGTGTGTGTGTATATTTATATATATATATATATATATATATATATATATATATATATATATATATATATATATATATATATATATATATATATATATATATATATATATACATATATATATACATACATATATATATATATATATATATATATATATATATATATATACATATATATATATATATATATATATATATATATATATATATTATATATATATATTATATATATATTTTATATATATTATACATATATATTTTATATATGTGTATATATATTTATTATATATATTATATATATATTATATATATTTTTTATATATATTTTATATATATATATATATATATATATATATATATATATATATATATATATATATATATATATATATATATATATATATATATATATATATATATATATATATATATATATATATATATATATATATATATATATATATATATATATATATATATATATATATATATATATATATGCTTTTTTCTATCCAAATGATGGTTCACACATACATTGTTAATTGCACAAAAAAATATACCTTGGTTTACTGATTGGGCAGCTTTCCAAACTAATAAAGAGTTGCTTTCTGTGTATTCAACAAAAACAAGCAGCAATTTCAGTGAAGTTTTTTGAACCAACCGATACTAAATAGTAGCTTTAAATTGTAAAGAAAATGCAAAATAATAAAATTTATTGTTGCTTAGAAACAATATAAATGCATAAAATTTTTTGTCTGTTAATTAGTGATGCACCTAATATTTTGCTTGATAATCATTTTGCTTAAAATGGTTACCAAAATATTTTCTTCATTCCCTTAAAAACAAACAAAATTTTAACATTTTCAGATTAATGATCAATTTATTGATGTATACCAAAAAATATGGGTACTGTTAAAAATAATTTGAAGCCAAATCACTGCCTACTAACAACGGTTGATCCATAAGGATTGGGGGGAAATCACCTCCTCCCTACCCCACCCCCTCTTCGATATTTTATAAATAACTTTTTAAAATAAATTTATATATTTAACTAATTTATTGTTTGAAAACTGAAATAAATTAGGGAGGCTGTTCAAATGTAATAAAATTATAATAAGTTGTGCAAACAAATCGGACTGATAGGATATCAGTATAATTTCATAGTTACATAGATTAAGACAGTGAAAGACTAATACTCTAAAAAAATATTTCTTTACTAAATAATTCTAAATCAACCAAATCAACCAAATCCTTGAATCCTTCGGATCAATCAAACCCCTCCTTCTTTCCTAAATGGTCTGGATGCACCAAATCGAAAAAAAAATTAAAAATCATCCTCCCTTAAGTGATGGTCTCTATCTGTTGTTAACACATTAGTTAACCCTTTCAGACCCAGCAGTTCTATTTGGAATCATAAGCATTTTTTAGCTCTGTCAGTGCTTATAATATAATTTAAGTTACAAATTTCAATTGTTACTTAATTAGTTTACATTTATTTATAGAAATTTATTGCTAAATATTATATCCTAAGTAGTATATATTCTACATATTCTTATGCATAACTCATGCAAATCATGATTTTATTTAACCAATACAAAATACTTAATTATTTTTTTTAATAATTGGTGCTTCCTTATATGCTTAAGTAATAATTTTTATATTGTCTAAAAAATATATCAACAAAGAAAAAAAGTGAGGTAATTTGGCTTTTTAAATGACCTTAAATGATTTTTACAAAACTGAGTTTATTGTAAAGACATCTTTTGTAAATTTTTTAAATAGAATTATTTATATTAGGATAATTTACAAATTTTAATTCCCCTGTTGCACTTTTTATATTTTATGCAATTTTAGGTGAAAACTGTTTATCCATATTGTCTCGGTCTAAGATGGTGAATGTTGTGACATTTAGACAAGTTATTTATTTTCTTTGTTTGTTTTTTTTAAAAAAAGTCAGCAATATAACAGTCAGCCATGAAACAGCAATTTTAAATTGTTTTGTACCTCTTATCAAATCATTTGTGAAATTATAAATTTTTCCAATAACACTTTTTTTCTTGCAAAATATTTTACAGTGCAGGCTTGGTCAGAAACGTGTGCAATCACACGTCATTATGTTATCATAAAAACAATATTTTGTTTTGACAATTTGGCTACAGCTTTTAACATGTTTTCAGAATTTTTCAGAATGCGCTGACAAAACTTACCTAGACATAACTTAAAAAAGCATTAAAAAAAAAAAAAAATTAATTTAAAAAATAAAAAAAATCTTAACTAAAGATAAAATAAAAAATATTTAACTAAACTATAACATAAAAAATAAAAACTCAACTTAATTAAAACACAGAAAATTAAAATGTTAAGTTTGTTTAAATTAAGTTTTTAATTAGATTTGGTATAATAAACTTTGAATCTGTTATTTTTACTAATGTTTATATAACATGGTAAACCTTTAAAATAAAGGAACAATTTACTTCCTGTGATTGCTTAATAAATTTTCACACTTAAATTATAGTGAATTTTTAAATTGAGTGAAATTTTGACATCATAAAAAGACATGTAGAATGAGAACCATTCTATATAATTTGATAACAAATTAGCGCAAATGTAGCCGATCCTAAACTCTGGATAAATTCAGATCAGTTTAATTTGCTAACTGGTTAAGGATTTAAGGCAGTTTTATGGCATTAAATATTGTTACTTATACCTCCTCCTGTTCTCAAAATAATGGCTACATTAAGTGGTTTGACTTAGGAATAGTGTAAAAATCTTAGCATATTTTAATGTATAAACTACTGTCAAAATGTATAAAAAGGCTAAAAAATGGTTGAAAATATTTTCTAGGGATATCTACATAGAAAAAATAAAAAAAATTTATTTCTTTTAAAACAGAAAAACTGTTAGAAAACCAAATATTTTTTATATTGACTATTTAGATACTAAAGATAATCTCTATTAAAAGGGAAAAATGTTAATGAAGGGGAAAATGTTCTTTGAACAAAAGAAAAATCGTTTTTTGGACTGAGTCATCAAATAAGATCTCATTTAAATTGTCAACAAGTGTGACAAGTATCATTAATTTAAATAATTATTTCCTTTTAAAGAAAGAATTACTAAGAAATATGTAATATAAGTAAATATTTCCTTGATTTAAGTAGTTTTTAATTAATAATATTTATAAGTATCCTAAGTGGATTGTTTCCAATATAAATTTAGACTGAATTTTGTAAAAGGCAGAGTTTGATATAGTGATGTTTGATTTAGTGAATTGCCACAATGCCAAAACAAGCAATGAATCATGATGAAACTTGAAAGTTTATCGTTGAAATTTGAAAGCTTAAAGTCGGTTAACTGTTTTCCCAACAGATCAAATATGACAACTACATAAGACTAAGATCAATATCAGTGATTTTTGGGTACCAAAAGGACTTTAAGAATTGTGCAGAGAGACTTTACTTAGGAAACAAGAAAGGAAAAGCTGCACTCTCCCCTTTGTTTGATTTCAAGTTAGGTACAAGTGAGACCTGAAGCAAAATGGATGACTTAGAGCCAAACCAGCCTATACAACTAATATGTTACAATGAGATAATTGAATGCAAAGTTTAAAAGTTTCCAACAAAAGCAGCAACACTAAGCAAAATAAAAGCTGCCAAGCTCACCTAAAATTTTGAATTACAGTATTTTGTGCTAGCTGAACAACAAAATACTCACCCAATTTTTAATTGTGTTTTATGTTTTTTTTTCTTAAGTATGTATTTTGTAATGATCCATTACCATAGTAGTAATACAATTATTAGTTCTTTAATCTAATTCTATGCTATATTATATTATATAGTTAATATAGTAAATTTTGAATATAATTTATTTATTCCTGTGTGCCGCAACTAAAACAAGAATTTAGCAAGTTGGCTCCTTTAAAAATATGGTGCCGACCACTGATCTAACCATAAAAAAAAGATATTATTGTACTGCCTTAACATTATGAACTCTAATATATTTTTTATGTATGAGGAAACAACTTGAGAATTTGTAGAAATCATTCACATAAGGTAAGATTAAACTATATGTTGATATATATACATATACATATACATATACATATACATATATATATATATATATATATATATATATATATATATACACATATATATATATATACATACATACATATATATATATATATAATATTATATATATATATATATATATATATGTATATTACATATTATACATTATTATACGCCTTATACATATATATACATATATATATATATATATATATATATATATATATATATATATATATATATATATATATATATATATATATATATATATATATATATATATATATATATATATATATATATATATATATATATATATATATATATATATATATATATATATATATATATATATACAGTACTGTGAATATGTTTTAGACCACTTATATAATTAGTTGTATTTTCAATTTTTTTCCTGTGTATTTTTTTTTTTAAGCACACTTAAGTTGAGTAATATTTGAGAAAGGTTGAAAGAATATATTATCTTGAATAAATAAACAAAAATTTATGAGGAACACGAGGGATATGTTTGTTTATTTATTAAAACGATAATTGTCATAATAACTGCAGACCAAGCGTTCATCTAAATAATACATAAAAATAATATTTTCGATTTTTTTCTTACTGGTTCAGGTTCATATTCGTTCATTTAAGTTTTTAACAGTATAAAATGTAGTCATAGAGTGAATTTAATACAATAATAATCGGTTTTGGTACATTTTTTAAAAAGTTGTTATTTTTTATGAATACAGTTAAACAAATAGTTAAAAATAATTAAATAAAGTTATTAGTTTACATTTTTAGATTAACTAAGTGTTGCTATGGGTAAAATATCTTTAATAGAGAGACAGAAAGTTATTGTGCTTCACGAAGAAGGTTATTCGCAGCGCCAAATTTCTTCCAAAACAGGATATTCGAAGACTACTATTAGAGAAATCATTAAAAAGTTTAGAGAAACTGGCTCCCTTGGAAATAGAAAGAAAAGTGGCAGACCTCCTAAGCTAACAAAAGATGACAATAAATATTTAAAAACCCTTTCTTTAAGAAACAGGAAAAAAACATCCACCGAATTGGCAAAGGACATTAATACAACAACTGGGAAAAATGTTAGCTCTTCTTGTATTCGACGACACCTACTCAAATCAGGATTACGAGACTGCGTTGCTATTCGAAAACCTTTATTACGGCGTGGCAATAGAGAAAAACGACTTAAGTATGCAAAACATCACAAAGATTGGACCCAGGAAATGTTTAATCGGGTTCTGTACACTGATGAGTCCAAATTTGAAATTTTTGGAACGAAAAGACGTCAATATGTTCAAAGAAGAATAGGAGAAGCCTATCAGCCCGAGTGTTTAAACCCTTCTATAAAACACGGAGAACAAGTTTGGGGCTGTTTATCTTCATCTGGGGTAGGTGATCTGATCAAAATAGAGGGACGACTCACGGGGAACGTTATGTGGATATTCAAGACAGCATGCTATACCAACCGGAATGAGACTAATGGGCCATAATTTTATTCTGCAGCAGGACAATGACCCAAAACATTGTTCCCGAGTGGCAAAATATTATTTAAATGAAATGGCAGAAGAAGGAATACTGGAAATGATGACCTGGCCTCCCCAGAGTCCAGATTTGAATATAATCGAGTATATTTGGGATTACTTGGACAGGAAAAAGGTCGAACATGCTCCCCGAAATGCTGAAGAATATTTTCAACTACTTCAAAGAGAATGGCACAACATACCGCAGGATTTTATAACAAATTTGTATGAATCTATTTCCTGGCGAATATCGGCTGTGATTAAGGCAAAAGGAGGACATAGTAAATATTAAGGGTTTTTTTATGAAGTGTGACATTAAAAAGTTTGTTATTGTTCTATATTTTGTGTGAAATATATGTGTTTTAATAATTTTATAATATAGAATTCGAAACTTAGATATTAAGGAAGAATTCTCTTGGATTTTTTGAGAAAATGTAAGTGGTCTAAAACATATTCACAGTACTGTGTATATATATATATATATATATATATATATATATATATATATATATATATATATATATATATATATATATATATATATATATATATATATATATATATATATATATATATATGTATAAGGCACGGTTGTCTGGTGTGTGGCAATCAACCAAATAATAAAATCTCATAACAAGGCCTGCAAACACAATTCCCAACATTGTTCACATAATTAAAGAATTCAATAGTTTCAGTGTAGTTGTCAAGGCTTTAGATTCAAACTTCAGCCAGATTTTGATAAAAAATTAAAAATTTGAAAAGGAATTACTTAATGATAACTGGTGCAATACCCAAAACTCACACCATATTCTACCACATCAAGGATTTTATTTATAGTAAGTGTTACATACAATATTCATACATACAACAAACACTTTTTTTCTTTTTACTTTTCCGCCAATATTGTTGTTATTGGTGACTTTGCTTATCACACTGAATGGCTTGGCTCTAACAGGGTTCCCACTATTAAAACTGACGCTAAAAGTAAGGATTTTAAAGAGATTAAAGGAAATATTTTCCTAATATTTAAGGAGATTTGGTTGCGAACGAAAATTTTTTGAATGAAAAATTAGGGAGAATTAAGGAGAAAACAATTATATTAAAAACAGAATTTAATTTTTTTCAATAAATTTTAAATATAAACAGATAAATTATTATAAACTGATACTGTTTTTATATTATAAACTGATACAATTATTATAAACTGATATAAACAGATAAATTATTATAAAATTATTATAAACTTTATATATATATATATATATATATATATATATATATATATATATATATATATATATATATATATATATATATATATATATATATATATATATATATATATATATATATATATATATAAAATAAAAATATAGATTTAAAAACTCAAAGAATTATATATTTCCTTTTTTATTAATAATATAACACAGGTCAACAACTTATGTTTTCTAAAATCTCTATGAAAATACGCTTCTTTTGAAACCCAGGTTGACATACCTTTGAATAATTTTTTTTTGTTGACAATATTAGAAATTTTACCCTTTGGGTTCAAATACTAAAGATTTGAACTCAATTATCTTTGCAACTTGACATGATGGTGAGAAATGAGTTGCATATCAGAAATCAAAATGAGAAATGCAATACAAAAAAAAAATTGTTTGCTCAGCACTAGAAAAATTTTTTTTTTGTTGACCTGTTTAATCCATTCACTTAAAATAAAATTTCCTAGATGATTAAAAAAAAGGAGAAATTAATTAGAGCAGTCAAATTTTAACTTTTTTTAAGATTATTTAAGGACATTTAAGGTTTTTATTTTTTAAAGATATTTAAGGTTTTAAAGGAGGAGTGGGAAACCTGTCTAACACCACTGACCCTGCTGGAACTAAAGCTATAACTACTGTATTTTTCAATTTCTTACTCAGATAATTAACTTTGAGACTCAATTTCCAGACAAACCAAATCACTTACCCTCACTCCTTGTTTTTTTTCTTGTCTCTGACCCTAGCTTGTGTTTAGTTTCTCCTCCTTTTTTTCCTTTAGGTGGTTTAGATCATGCAATAATCTCTATAAATTTTTTATCTCATTTTTTTTTTCCTTCAGAATCACCCTACCATCCCATCACTTACTACTAAAGGAAAGCAAACTGGGATTCTTTGCATAATTTTCTTTGTAACAGTCCTTCATTATTCAAGTTTTTAAACTTTTTCTGGTTTATTAGCATTAACTTTAAAACTAAAGTTTATGGAAGAAACTTTTTGACTATCATGCAAGATTGCGTAATAAACGGCAATATAACTAAATATAAAAGTTACAAAAAAAAAATACCTTAGATGAAAGTAAACAATAAAGCCATTGTATTGTATCATTATGTTCTATCACACCATTCATACCATCAACATAAAGCATGATTTGACCAATAGCTTAAAAACAAAATGTTTAATTACAATTGAGTTTAAATCAAAATTATTTATTTGGTATTCAAGTTTTTTTTAACAAAATTTCTGATATTATAAATATAATTTATAGAGTTATAAATATTTAAAAATAATATTTTCAATTACATTTAAACTTTTGTAAATTAAATAATGTAAATTATTAAATCAATTTTTAATATTAAATACAATGCTTTTTAAAAATGATCATATTGAGAATCTAATCAGATTGAGATCCAATCAGTGTAAATAAAATGGTGTAAACTGGTGATCTCTTCTAATACTCTATAGTTGAAAAATTTTATAATGCTAAAATGTTTATAATGTTAAATGAGAACGTGTAATAAGCACACTATATATCAGCTGGTGACTTTTTTGAATACTTTTACACACTATATATCACACTATATATCAGCTGGTGATCATTTTTTGAATACTTTCACTAAAGTATTTAACACAGTAAACGGAGGAAGATGATTCCATACAGTGAGATTAAGAATACTACATGATCCATATATATCAACCTATTTTTCAACCTATTCTTCCTTTATAAAATTGACATTTAAAATTTTACATTGAATATTGTTAATGTTCTTTCGTTCTTGTTTATTCAAAAACATTAAGAGTTGTAAAGATTCCATATCTTGAATTCTAATTAATACTGCATTTTTAGATTTTTTTTTTTTTTGATGCAAATTGTAATTTTTTGTAAGCAAACTTTATTTTATAAATAAAAAATTACTTTGTCTCATTTAAGTTTTGTCATATTTTGAAATATGGTTAATTACGAGCTAAAAAGTTTTAGTTTATAAAAAACGATTATTCAAAAATTTACATCCAAATTCTGCTTTTAATTAAACTCGCTGCACGTATATTATCTAAATTTGTCTTTCAGTTAAACCGGGTCTTTAAATATTGACTCCACCGGTCCTTATCCTATTTTATACCTAAATTTATAGCCTGTTATATTTTCATAATCTAATTATATAATACACAAAAAGTGCAGAGTAAAAATAGTGTGCAAAAAATTTTCAAAAATTTTTTGTCATTTAAAAAAAAACTCACACAACCAATTAGAATTAGATATAAAACATCCACTTGAAAACACTGGATTTAAAATTGGAAACGTGGGGGAAAAAAAAACATTGAGTTAATTGTGTTAATGGCTATTGAGTTAATTGTGTTAGAGCTAGCAATTGTGGATGTTTCCATAAATGCAAACAAAACAAAAAGTGAATTCTTTATGTTTTTAAAACAAATTTTATTTCAAAAAATAATTTAGATTAGTGTGCTATTCTAAATTTGTGCTAAAACCTGCTTGTTTATTTTTATATTGAAATTTAAAGATAAAATAAAAATAATGCTGGGAAAAAGGGATATTCTGGAATATAGAAAAATTTATTATTTTAAAAATTAACGGGAAATAAAAAAAACCTAAAGCTTTTGTTTAATAATGAACTTTAGTAATTTTTTGTTTATAGCAACCTAATTAAAATTATTCCATTATTATTATATTTAAAGTTAGAATTGTTTATCGAGTTGTTTCTGATGTAACTAAATGAATTAATCATACAAATTTTAAAAGAACAAAATTTAAAAGAACACTTTGCTGTTTTTTGTTAAATATTGCATTAACTTAATGTTTTTAAACAATTTTATATTTTGCTAGAACTAATTTTATATACAATGTTATTTTAGTTTGCTTTATGAATTTGTTTGAAATTCATTTAAGATAATGCTTTATATGTTTGGTTGCTATGCAACTAAATTAAAAACTCTAATCTAAGTAACTTAAATAAAAAAAATAAAAAATTTCTGATCGATGTGTTGTGAATTTATGTTTTTACATTAACTCTATGTTTTTAAAGAACTTTATATTTTGTTCGAATTAATTTTATATACAATGGTACTTTATCTAATTTTAAAATTCTATAAAAGTTGTGTTTTAAATTCATTTAACTTTCAGCCTTATAAGTTTGCTTGCTATGCAATTAAATTAAAAACCTAAGTAACTAAAATTAAAAAAAAAAAAATTCTGATGGATCAGTTGTGAATTCTCAAGTTTATAAGCGCTGACAAAAACACTAACTACCAGCATTCTCAAATTAGGATCTCTGAAACTTGAATCTTTATCGTATTCAGAGTTAAGTGAGGTTGTAACCACAACTAAAGTAGGCTTCTTGACTGTAGTGACCTTCTTGGCCTTGGGGAGGTGAATTAACATAAAAATTTGGTCATGATATTACCAAGTATACATACTAATAGTAATTATAATATTTTAAAAAAACTTACATTCCATTCATATTGACAATAAAACAAGTTCAAACTGTAGCATTTTAAATTATACATTTTATTATTTATATCAGCAAAAAATGTTAAAGGTTGTTTAAACAAAATTAAACATTGTTTTAATGAGACACAGTTCAAACTAAATTCATTTAAATGCAGATTTGGTATGAATTGCATATAAGTAATAAATATGTTTGAAAAATTTAATACAAAAAATTTTAAAACCTTATAGAAAAATATAATTTTATTTTAGGCTTTAAATATTTTATAACAACCACTAAAAACCAAAACTTACCACGTAAAATGTAATTTTGGTAGTTTTGGTCGGCATCAGTACCAACAGTAATAAGACAACTAAGTCCATCATTTGTAACAAACTCGTGTACAAGATCTTTATCATCCTGAAAAAAAATATATTTAAAAAATTCAAATTTAAGACTTAACTAAAATAACAGCAGCAACCAGATGATTACTATTGATTGAGGATAAATATCATTTGTTGTAGAATGTTACACAACATTCTGGTGTCCTGTTAAAGCTAGATTATTTTAAAATTCATTTAAAAAAATATACCTGAAAAATTTGCTTCAAAGAAAAAAGTGCTCTTCTTAAATCACGTCCAGTTGCTGTCAACAATTTTGCTAAATACATTAATTTTTAGCTTAACAAAGACTCATTAAGCATTGATTATAGAAAAAACATTAAAATAAAAAAAAGCTAATAAATTAACTCAAGATAAACATATGTCCAAAATTAATCAAAACATTATATATATATATATATATATATATATATATATATATATATATATATATATATATATATATATATATATATATATATATATATATATATATATATGCATATATATATATATATATGCATATATATATATGCATATATATATATATATATATATATATATATATATATATATATATATATATATATATATATATATATATATATATATATATATATATATATATATATATATATATATATATATATATATATATAACCCTCGGAATTAGGAAAAATGAGATCGGCAATATTTTGCCGACCTCAATCTTTTAGAGGTCTCTCAAACACTTTCAGGTCAGCAGTTAGATCGACATTGCCGAATGCCGACCCTAATTCCGAGGGTTGATATATATATATATATATATATATATATATATATATATATATATATATATATATATAATATATATATATATATATATATATATATATATATATATACACACACATTAGTGATGCACCAATTAATCAGCATCTTGTTCAATTTTTTACACAACCAGAAATGTCATAGGCATCGACCTTTTTTTATTAATTATTCCTTTTTTCAAAAAAAAATTTTGAAATCTTTTCCATCATTTCTGGTGGTTTGCGATAATGGAAGTTGTGTTAGTATAAAATAACAGGTTTTTTAAAAAACGTGTTATGTAGCTTGTATTTGAAAAAAATGTATATATATTAGGGCTGTACCGGATTTCGGCTCCGGCTCCTGCTCCGGCCGAAATCCGGCCGTTTTTACAAATCCGGCCCAAATCCGGCTCCTGCAAAAATTTAGCAAATCCGGCATAATTTTAGCCGGAGTTTTGAATTTTGTCAAATATTTATTACATTTTTTTTGCCCGTGTTTACATGTATACCTAATATTTTATTTATAAAAATCAATTTTTTTTGTAATTATATATTTTATAAACCTCATATTTGTTTTGGTATTTGTATTTATATTTCTTTATAATTTAATAAGCTTAGTCTAATTTCAAACAACAACGCAACAAAAATATTCTGAAGGGAAGACACACGATATTCTACAATGATGCAGGTATAAAGACTATGATGTCAACCCTAATTAAGCAATTGGATGAGCGTTTTTTAAGTAATTGGATGAGCGAAAGCATTGAAAAGAGAAACCTCTTTATATACTGACGAGGCTGGTTGACTCACAATTTAAAACTAAATTCTCCTCATTAGAGGCAACACTGAGAGCTGAAAAAACAAGATTGAAATCAATCTGAGCATGCTGAACAGAAGATTTACAAAAGTGAAAAAAATCCATCAAAATAAACCGTGCTTAATAATTTTTCTACATCATCATTACTCTGGCAATTTATTGATAAAATTATTCAGTCTTCGTCCGCTGGTGGCAGGGCACATAAACAACAATTACTAAAATGCATTGAAGTTCAGCTAAGGAAATATCCGAAAGAACCAGAAATAAATAGACACAATGATCCACTACAGTGGCGGAGTGACAAAATCCCGGAAAAAAAGTTCAATAGAATTACTATAAACTTTTAAAACATATGGCCTAAAGAAATTCTTTAGAATTTCTATTAATTTATATATAGAAATTGCTATAAAACTTTTTAAATAACAAAAATGAAGTTTAACAGAAAAAAGCAGTCACTTGGTATTCTGAATAGTCCACATTGTCCATGTCCATGTCACTTGTCCATGTCCATGTCACATTGTCACATTGTCCATTGTCCATGTCACTTGGTATTCTGAATAGTCCACATTGACCATGCTCAACACTAAGTAGGGATGTAGAGGATTTTGGCTCTTGTAGTTTTCTTTTGAAATCCGGCTCCGGCTCCGATTCCGGCCGGATCTGTCAGTAGAAATCCGGCAAATCCTGCTCCGGCCGGATTTGAAAAAATTAAATCCGGTACAGCCCTAATATATATATACAGGCTTTGTGATGAATAAAAACTGAGCGATGCATAAGCACGACGTGATTTTTGATGTCATTAAATTCTTTTTATTTGCTTTTCATATTTATCGACATTAACTGCACCAATTTACTTAATTACCACAAAACTACTTTAAATCGTTAATGTAGAAATGTTATTATTTAAAAATGTTTTAGAATGTTTCATTTTTTAAAATGTAAAAACATTTGTTTATTTTCTCAACGCTTGACACAATTGTCTATACTAAACGAATAAAAAACATTATAACTAAGCATTTAAAAAAGATTATAAAATATGCTAATACTTGATTTTTTTTTTCTCAAATATGTAATTTAAAGTTATTCAAATAATTATTTTTTCTTTTTAAAAAGTCAGCGAGTAATAAACTGGTAATTTTAATATTGTACGATTAAAAACTGTGCAATAGCTAATATTTTTACCAGCAATTTCATATAATATTTTTTTATTTATTTTCATAAAACGGTTGATAAGCACAATCACTTGTATTACTAAAAAACTTTAACGAACGTTTTGAATAGATTTTTAATGTTTACAAGGAATTTTACTTCTAAAAATTCATTCAAAATCATCAAAACATATCCTCAAAAAGGGAAAGTTATGAAACAAATAGAATAAATAGAATGCTAAAAACTTTGATAAAATTAGAAGCTTGATTAAAAAAAGAAAAAAAAATTTGACAAAAAACTATTAACTTCTCACACTGGCATCACAAAGTTGGTTGATATCAGAAGTAAAAAATAACTTTTTTACTTTTGATATTAACAAAATTTATATATTACGAGGTAAATACATAAATATGGTTAGACAGATTTTTTAACAAAAAGATTGTTAGTTATTTCCCCATCATATAAAGTCTTACATAAAGATGTAAATAATATTCTTAAAACATTTTATGACCCATGTGATTTATGTAAACTATGCCTGGAAAAAAAGATTAGGTAATCGTTCGAACGAACAACAATAAAGAACTATATGTATTATACAAAGAAAACAATCCTGAAATGGTAATGCAATAAGCTATTCGAATTCTGCTTCATTTAGACGAAATTAGGGCATTTTTGCCAGGTGCAAGTGTTACACATTCTATTTCTTTTAATCATCAAAATTGTTGGTACCTTTATTATTGTGAAGCATATAAGCATCTACTTTCAATAACTGTTTGCTCAGTAAAAAAAAAAAAAGAATGCTTGCTTATACAATGTGATCATTGTCCTGGTAAAGAACCCTTCATCATCTACTTGATTTTTGGAGAAAATAAAAATTATCTTTAGATAAACTACTAGCAATTAAAAACAAATTTGGCAACTTTGCAGAAAACTATGCTTTTGAAATCCACGATAAAATGCAGAGCTATCATTGAAACATCCCAAATAATGATTTTTACATCCATTATAATATATAATAAAAAGATAACGAAGGTGTACTAAAACATGCTTCTTATTTCTTTATATTACCTGACATTAAACACAATGTAACCCACTTGCGCAAAATATTTTACCTAATTTTATCCACATTAAAAACTGTCTAAATTACATTTATTCAAAAAATTTACTATGACAAACAATCATTTAAGTTTAATAACTTAAACCTTCAATACCTTAAAAAGTCTTGTATATTTTTCAATAACTTTTTAAATTGCAGTTGATTTATGTTTGTTATATTTGCAAACATTTTTTAGTAAATTCTTGAAAGAGTAATATATTTTGGAAATTAAAGTTCTGTCACTGTTTTTTTTCATTTAGATTTTTGGTGATGGGTAAGATTTTAAGTAACTAAAAAAATTGAACAGTTGAATCATATAAACTAGTTGTTTTATTGATTTTTAAGTATGCTATTAATTTGTAAGCATCCTTTCATATTTCAGCATTTTATGTACATTTATTGAACTTTGCATCGAAAAAGGAATAAAAATATTTATTTTCGTATTTTTGCTTTTTTAATCTTGTTTTTATTAAGAAAAACTTTTTTTTAAATGTAATGAAAACAGGTGTAGAATTATCCATATGCATTAAATTTATATATTCATACTTATACCGTGTCATTTTAGGAGATCAGGGCAATTTTAAAATTGCAATATCTTGCCAACTGCTCATCAATTTTAGCTAAAATTTTACATGCAGTGTTTTTTATAAATAGGAATCATACATCAAAAGATGAAAAAAAAAAAAAGGAAGACACGTGGTTCAATGGGCTGGGTGATTTAATGTGGAACCCATTTGGATTAAATTTATATATATATATATATATATATATATATATATATATATATATATATATATATATATATATATATATATATATATATAATTATGTTAAACTTATGTATGCATACCTATAATATTATGGACACGTACAGAGAGCTGAGTTCTCAGAATGATTGTGTTCTTGCGACTAAAAAAAATAAAGAATAAAATCAAAAAAATACAAAAATCATTTACCTTTTAAATTATTAACAAAATACTAACCTATAATTTAAAAAATAAAAATAATTTTTTTTACACTTTTTGTATAATTGATACTGGCCTTTTTTTATTGATTTAGAATTTTCTAGTTGATTGCTTTTTCAAAAATCTTTACGCATTATAAAAATAGTTATTTATATAACTCATGCAGTGAAGTTATTTATATAATTCGTGCAGTGCAGTGAAATAATAAGACTAAATTTGTCTTCTTCTAGCCCTACTCATGTAATTATTTTTTATAAAATACAAATGTAAATTTTTTTTTTCAGCAAAAGTGTAAATAAATAAATAAGTGAATGCTTAATGCACTTAGTTACTATTGTTAATTAATAGTTACAACTCTTGTGACTTTTGTGCTAGCAGTGTTTATTCTATTCCTGCGCTCTTAAACTGGCATGGTCGAACTGCGCTCTTAAACTGGCATGGTCTTTGACCTAAACAAAGTTGTGCTATTTTAGCTTTTTTTTAAACAGGCAGCTTATTTTAGCCTTTATGTTTTAAATTTATTACATTTTGGTTTAGAATTTAAGTTTAATTTTGTCTAAACTAGATTATGCATATATTTATATACATATATATTTGATTACAAGTTAAATTTTTTAGTTTATCAAGAGATTTTTCAGCTTTTTGTTTTCTTATTGTAAATAAAATACAATTTAATTGTTTTAAATGCTTTACATTCCAACATCCAACTGCATGCATAAAATTTTTAGAGTATCTTCAGGAATTTATATTTTGAAACCTCATTTTTTATCTTATTAATGCGCATTAAATTTGTCATATTCATCTTATGAATTTCCTATAACTACTGTATCTGGTCCAAGAAAACATAATAAATATTTAAGTTTCTAATGTGTTTCAATATTTTCAATATATTTTTTGTTTTATTTTATTTGTTAATAATTTTTTGTTTACACAATAACCTAATAACTGTTAGGGTTTCCAATCCGGATATCTGAATATCTGATTATTCAGATAATTCGTCTTATTTTGACTATTCAAAAATTTGATGATTTTCATTAAATCTGATATTTTTTGATAAATTAAAATATTGTTTTCAAATGGCAGGAAATTTTTTAACATGGTGTTAAATAGGTTTAATTTAAAATAAAATCTTTTAAATAAGTTCAGTATATTTACCCAAAATAAAAACTTTTTTTATTTTGTTAAATGTTTTTTTTTTATTCTACTCTTTGAAACAATTGTTTGTTGTTACACTTTGTAGCTCAGTTGTTTAAACACATTGATTTAAGGCTTGGTCAGGAAGCGGGAGCGATCACTCTTGATTGCTGACCATGTAAACAATATTTAGTTGCGAAAAGCTGGCCAGATTTTTTAGTTGTTTTGAGAACATTTTGAAAAGCAAAATAAAAAGCGCAAAAGATTAATTGGACCGATGAGAAACAATTACAAAAAAATAAAAAAATTAGGCAAATAAAATATCTTTAAACGCGAAAAAACTTAAAGCTAAATAAATTACATTTAGAACAAATATTTTCGAACGATCGCTCTTGTAATTTTTTTATAAAACTAAGCGATGTTTTTTATATAAAGTAACAACTTACGACTGTTTAAAAAGGAAACAAATGCTCTTTATTTGGCAAAGTTCACAAGTTTTAGTTTTATTTAAGCTAAATTATTTTATAAATAAAAAAGTTAATTTTTTCAATACCTATTTTATGTTTCGCGTAGTTTGAAAAGTTTAACATATTTGAAGCAATTCTTCTTAGTAAGATAAACAAATGAAATAATTAAATCATTGAATTACTATAGAAATTAAAAACAAGATAGAAATCAACTAAAAAGGTTAAAAATACTTTATGACGAGGAAGTGAAACTGCTTTACAATATCGCTGATGATGTTTAGTGAGTGGGCTATTTAATTTTAATTAGTATTTAAAGCAGAAAAAAGTATAACGAGTTTCAAGGATGGCAACTTAAGCGAAAATAATTAGAGTTGGTAAACCAATATATAGAAACTTTTCTTTATATCTAATTATTTGCTATATATATATTTGTGTTCTGTCGTGACCTCAGGCACGGTGCTTGTTCATCCGCGAGTTACTTTGTATGCGTTGTTTGTGTTTAGTAACCAGAAACTTCTTATATGTTTGTTACATAATTAGTTTTATTAACTATAACGTTTATAACTTCATTGAAAACGCAATTATTTTTGTAAGTCTTTGTTTAAATCATAAAAATTGCTTTAAAAGATACATGACGATAAAAAACAGATACACAAAATTACATTTAGATAAAGAATACATACTTTTTAAATAAAAAATAAGAATATACTAATAAAATCTATCATTTATAATAAACTTTTGAAATTTTGACAATTTAATATATATTTAAAATATTTATTTTTGTAAACAAATAATATATATTTTCAAAACAAGAAAACTAGAAATCTCAAAACGTAACAAATCGTGAATATGACAATTTCTAAAACATTTCAACAGAATACTCTAGAATTTTATTTCGCTAAGTCAGCGTATTTTTTGAACTAATAGAATTAGTTTCTTTGTTAACTTGGCGGGTTTTTAGTGTTCGCAAATATTCTTTTTATTCCTTCGCACAAAGATGTTTTGAGAACATTCAAGTTTATTATGTTTCCATGTATGTCCGTAAAACAAAAATTTTTTGTTTCGTACATAAAACTTAAATGTTCTCAAAACGACTAAAAAACCTGGCCAGTTTTACGCAACTAAATATAATTTCTGTGGTCAGTATTCGAGAGCGATCGCTCCCGCTTCCCGACCAAGCCTGTGATTTGTGTCTGCTCAATAATATATTAATGTAATATTAAAAAATCAATTATTATTTTTATATGTATACAGGCCTTGTTTTAAAGCGTTACGCATAGTGCGATTTACAGATGATTTAGGCAATTTTATGTAAGCAGTAAACGATTTTGGTTAAGCAACTTTTTATCATTTTTTAACTTTTAAATTATTCAATAAGTGGTAAGATAAAAGAAGTGATTAACTTTAAAAAGTCACATTAACTTTTGAATGACATTTATGTAAAAATATTTGTTACTAAAGTTTGAATGACAATTATGTTTGATATAATCGCTATTTACTAATGAAAAAAACTCAATATTTATTTTTATTTTATTGTAATGATTGATTTTTTAAACTTGAAGCAAAGATCATAAAAACATAATTTAATTCTGATAAAAAATATGATTTAATTTAAAACTAATTTAATAAAAATATATAATTTTTTATCTGATATAAAAATATATAATAATTTAATTTAGATTTTAAAAATATATAAGATAATTTTGATTTAAAAAATAAATTTAAGTTTATTAAAATTAAAGTTAATACTTGGGTTTAACTTAACTGTTAAATTTATTTAAAAATATTACTAAATATTATTTAACATTATAATTTTTATTTTTTTCTTAAAAAAAATTAGCTCATTTTTATCGCAATTGTTTTTTCAGTTTTCATTCCTAAACCTTTTATTTAACTCAAAATTAAGTTTTAAATAAACGGCTGCATCAAAAATATGCACGAAACATATTGCTTTTAATTTCTTTTTGCTTTTATTTTTTATTATTATTTCAAGCTATGTTATTATATATTAGTTTCCAGTTTGTTTTAAATTGGCCATACAACAAACTGACAATAGTATATAAAAAATTATTAAAACTAAAACATTGGAAGAAATTTTATCGTGAAGTGTAGGAGAGGATGGTTTTTCAATGAATTCAATAGTGAAATCACAACCTATTAATGGGTACATTAGAAGTAAAGGGTTCAATATGCCTAAAAGTCCTATTACTTTAACTTTGTAATAAAGTGAATTTTAAAAATTAATGAAATAAAAAAAAAAAAGAAACAGTATTATCTAAAGGAAAAAAATTTCTAATCTAAATCTAAAGGAAAAAAATCTAAATCTAATGGAAAAAAATTTCAATTCTTGCTAACAGTTAAGGGTTAGTTCACATAAAAAGTACAAGTAATGCCGAACAAATAAAACTTTATGTTTAAAATAAGTTAAAATAATTAGAAATTGACATTAAGTCAGATATAATATCATCAACACATGATGGAACAGCCGTTATGGTCAAGTCAAAACAATATTTTACAAGGATTTGTTGCTGCCCTGTAGGATATGCCTTTTTAGGCAAAGGCTAGGAGATGCAAACTCCGACATAAAACACCCCCTGCCTTGGGGCTCTTAGTTAAGTAAAGGCTAGAGACGGTGGTCTCAATAAAAATACTCAGATGTTAAATGCATCTGGCTGCTGTCTTGTAGAAGGCCTCCTAGGTAAAGACTTAAGGGGTAAACAGATTCTATCTGTTGACCAGCCTTGCATCCCTTCTTCATCTATTAGGCTGGCGCAGATGTATTTTTAATACATTTCTAGTTTAGGATGTTGAACGATCTTCTTGACTAGATGCATGGGTTTTGCTTGTGTCTCTGTTTTTATGACTAGGCAACTCATCCTATTATCTCCAAATGAGGGTATAGCTCTAAAACTCAGTTTTATGGTTCTGAGGCCGGCTGGTAGTCAGGTTTACCGAACTCTGTGGTAGCTCTCAGAGAGGCTGATTCCATCAACAGCTGAAAAATATCAGAGTACTAACAGTGTCATGTTCGCATGGGTGGTGTCCCTGTTTGTACTTTTGGTGTGCATTGCCAAGGCCACATTGAAGCCCTTTGTTACGGCTTAGGGTTTATTAGTGGAAATGAGGCAATTGCTTGGGCTATAAAACAGTGTACTGAGAACTATCTATGTTTCGAGTCAAGTTCTTTAACAAATTTATAAATGAACAAAGTAACAAAAACTATAAATTACAAAAAACCACAGTCATCACCAAGTTCGCTAAACCTATCATTCACCAGTATTCATGGTCTTCGAAGTAACTTTTCTTCTGTTGAATCTTATCTCTTGCAAAGTTCAACAGACCT